ATGAAATATGATGTTCAGCCTACAAGCCTTTTTTGGGGAAACTTTAATTAATGTAGCCTTAATTCAGTTAAACTAAATATGTTAGATGTACAAATTACCAAAAGAAATATTACGTGCACACAACTACATATTGAATCTTTAGATGCAGAAAAGTATTACAAAATATTAACATCCATAAATTTGAATGATGGATATTTGTATCAAAAAGTTCAGAAATCAATCATTAAATGTGCAAAAACTAAGCCGTGATGGGCAGTGTCTGTCACTTTGCCTCCCTGCTGTATCTCCCGCTCAGACAGCATCTCTAACAGCAGAGCTGGTGAAGTATATTTAGTCACACACTCTGAATATTTAAACCACTCTCTCTGTTCACGGTTGCTATAGTGATATTCATTCTAAGCTGAGCTTTGTTTGAGCTTTGTAGTTGTGCGGTGCTCTAAGTGAAATGGCTTTTTAATTGTTAAATTGTTGTCAGCTCTCTCTCTCTCTACAGTACATCATTGAAGTCTTTGGACCACTTGATCAATGCAACTCTATAACTCAATAGCTCATGTGAGTGGTGCCAAAAACACCAGTTTTCATAAGTGAGGGACACATTCCCATCACTCACTCAAGCTGTAGTTTATTGCTGTATTTGATTCCAAGAAGCGCTTTTAAATTGAAGAGACTAGTGTATCGTTTTTTTCATCTTTGCACAACCAATCAACTGGTCCTTCATGACATCAAAACTGTCATATGTTTCTCGTAATAGACAGCTACTGTACAGGTGGCAACAGCTGTGTCTATTATTCTACAGCTGAAGAACTCATTGTGCTTTTTCATTTAATTCCCAGAGCATTACAGTCCAGAGATAAAGCCCCGGCAGGTACTCTTCCTTTATGTCAAACTCTGTGTTTTGTTTCATGTAGCCATTACTAACAAAGCAGCTGTGATAGAAGCTTTTGTCTGCTCCTCTGCAGGCTAGCGTCAGCTGCATGTTCACTCTATCCACACCACCATGCTAGTTCAAAGAGCAAACTGTTGTGTGAATGACTGATATCTGGCTTAGTCATCCATTTGCTGATGATGGATCCTTGTCCCCATTGTTTACCGCCGTGTATCTGGAAAGGAGAGGTGATCCGTGAATTCCTCATCTGCTAAAAACAACAAGTGGGGGTTCCTGTACCAGATGAAATCTAGTTGCTTGCTGTGTGGAGGGAAAGTATGAGAGATGATCCTCTTGTAAATGTTTTGTTTTATGTAACACTGTTTTTTGGGCTTTGTTACCCAACAGACCCTAATCATAAAAGGTATTGCTCCTCAGCCAACCTTTAAATGACTTTGTTTGCCAGAAGAGGCCAAACCACTGCTAAAACCTACATGAATACATAATATTAAAATCAAAAGATTTTAGCTTTTTAGTTGTGTAATTAATGACCTAATGGGGCTTAGATTTAAGCTCCCAGTCTTGTACCTATCCACCCTGACCTACAGTGTGCTAGGAGTAGTGTGTGTGTGTGTGTGTGTGTGTGTGTGTGTGTGTGTGTGTGTGTGTGTGTGTGTGTGTGTGTGTGTGTGTGTGTGTGTGTGTGTGGTGTGTGTGTGTGTGTGTGTGTGTGTGTGTGCGTGCGTGCGTGTGCGTGTGTGCTTCTCAGCATATGATGAAAGCTGACCAGTCATCATTAACTAAGTTAGGATGTATTACATGGAAAACCGGACCACTGGCACATTGTATGATGGTGCTGTCTTTGTCTCTTTAAAACTGACTAATGTGTTTGTTAATGTTTGGGTGGTGCTTGTGCATTGTTTGCAGGAGAATATGCAGTGGCGGTGGATGCAATTACTTGAGAGTTGGGAACACAGTGTGTGCAGTATTTCTGTGTTATCTGCCAAATGTTTATATGTATGATGGCATTAATGGCAGATTATTTTTGGGTGGCCTGTTCGTGTGCTCTTGAGATGGATGGGAGGTTGTGGGGGACGCCATGATATCCACCAGTCCCAAGTTCAAATGTAAACCTAGTAAGAACTGTTAATACTCTATAACGAGAACCTTTGCAGCTGGTATCCAGAATATTTTAAGTATAAAAATATGACTGATACATCCATCTGTTGTATTTGCATAAAACAAATTAAATAGTTAAATCACTTCTTTACATTCGCTGTCTGATCTGTCTTGGTTTACTACTATGATGTGCCCCAAGTGACCAAAATGTAGCTTTAAATAGTGGCATAAGCTTTAGAAAGACTCAGATCAACCGAGAGAAGTCCCTATGGCCATGACAAAGTCACAATCCCACACTTCCAACTCAGGCATAATGGCCAGTTGTTTTTAACTAGATTCAACCCCGGGCCTCTACAAGTGTTTTTAAAGCTATTTTCAAGAGTGTACTTTTTAATACTTTTTAATTGACCAAAAAGCTGCTCCCAAGAGTAAGCTGATGACCTTGGACAAGACATGTAGACATGGCCACAAGCAAATATACAGCATCTCTAATGAGATGGCCACAGCATATGATGATGAAAGTATCCTGGGAGGAGATAACCCATTTTATTAATGTGTTGCGCTGACCAAGGAGAACTGTGGCCCAGTGTAAGAAATGGTTCAGTGATATTAGACAAACAGAACCGGAGGGCCAGTACCTGACATGTAGCCACAATTCCCTCTCTCGTGCCGTGCTACAAACTGACCACCACTGAATGACATTCACAATTTAGCCTTGTACTGTATACATAATGACATTATCAGGACAGACAGACAACTAAAGCCAAATACCATTTGTTATGCTTGATTGTTACTGATACATCCAACCTCTTTCGTCCCACATCAGTTCAAAGTCTCTACAATACTCTTACACTACACCCACCTTACTGCTCTCTTTAGCTATATAAAGTAAGAAGTAATTTTGTACTCAGATAAAGGGAGTTTCTGTGTTTTCAGAAGACAATACACTTTGTAGCCTTATTTAGTTTTGTTGATGTTTCCAAAGATGAGGAAATTAGGGTTTTATATTGGAGGCAGACCACTACGGCTGAAATAAACCTCTGCTTACATTGTAAAAGACTATACTATACGTACCTTAACAGGTGCTATTTCACACAACAAATACCGTATATTTAATGATGAATGTGGATGTTGTTTAGGACATCATCTATTAACAAAATTGATCACAAGACGAGATGTAACCGGATCTCAGCTAAACAATTCCATGGGGGGGGGGGCCCTGGAAGTTAATCTGTCCGCCTCAAACAGAGCATGTGAAAAGCATTAACACCGTGTGCAACAAGGGATATTGATATTTTACATATCCCATCTGCAACAACTTGAGTGTGTACTGCATGTGTGTTTAACCCAGACAGTTTCCTGGCTCAGACGGAGATGGTCATGCATGCTGAATATCAATGCTTTCTACCACCAGAGTGAGGATTTGTACTCAGACTCCATAGCCTGGTGGATGACATACACCACCTGGTCATTTTAAACTGCAGCTTGGCAGTAAGGAGTCGTCTTGCATTCACCTACCACTGAGCTGTGGCAGTAGTAGATGTCTACTTCAAATAACAAATGTCCAACAATTAATGTCTTTCAAAGAGCGCTTTACCTGCAAATGTGCTCTTAATCAGGTCAGTAGGGACTAATCAGTAGTCAGTGCAGAGTACACAGTGTACAGTACAGTCAAAATGATCATCCACTGAAAAACAGACCATTTGGTAATCATATAAATTGATGTCAGAGGTACCATAATACACCAGACGTGCATTATCTATCCCCATGCATTAAACAGATGTGCAGGCTCTCTGTTGTCCTTGCCTTTTAAAATCAACCAGCTCCTGATACAACACACTGACAGTCAGACAGAAGCTGTCAACGTTGCCCTCTATGATCCAGTGCTCTGAGCTGCTCTGAAGTCCTGAATGTAACAGTAGATCAGTAATTCATGGCCACTAACAGCGGCCATTGGCTGGCAGTGACGTAATGGCTTGCATAACGCCATGTCAAGTAACTGTGCCTGGCGGGTGCCCTGCCACTCAGATCACTTACAGAGCCTTTTGTTAGCTTCTGTCATTGTGAGGAGTAGGCTTCTTGCTGAGCCACTGATGCGTGTGTATGTGTGTGCACGCATGTGTGTGTGTGTGTGTGTGTGTGTGTGTGTGTGTGTGTGTGTGTGTGTGTGTGTGTGTAAGAAAAGAGAGTGTCTAGTGCTGGATCACAGAGGCTACCTGATCGGAACTTTGTGTACGATGGAAGGACAGGGACTACCCATCTTAAGACAATAGTCCTTCCACTTGGCTGGAGAGCCGTTAGTGGAGGTATTAAAGCAAATCCCCATGTTAAAGTCCATATGTACCTCTGTTTCAAATGATGAACTCATATGTTATAGTCCTGCTTTAAAAGCCAGAATGATGCTTACCACCAGACATCTTATCTCTAATCATTCTTGTTATATCTCCCAGAGTGGCTTTGCTACAGCCATGCCAGCAGTTTTAGTATTTCAGGGCAAAAGATCCTTAATCTTTCCAAGGCCTCATATTTTACGAGTGTTAAAATAAACAAGTTGGATGTTTTTCCAGACTTAGTACATTTATTCATGAAATTGGTGATGGGCTCAAAAACAAACATATTGATTTCCTTGTTGCTTTTAAAGTTCAGCATTAGTGAGAAAATCCTTGCGTCATGTGTGACTGTGTCTTACTACATTTGTTAACCCTCCCTGCTGCTGCTGCTGCTGTTGTTGTTGTTGTTGTTGTTTTTGGTTTCCCGTATTAGTTTAACTGTTATTAGCCAGGCTAGCACATGCTGCTTCAAGCCTATTAATTCTCAAGTGGTGTAAGCATGAGGAAGTAGTGTATGTGCTGTCCTGCTGTCCACAGCGATCTTTAAACTGCACTACTTTGCATGGTGTCTGCACTGGTATATTCATGGAGTATTTGTATGATTTCTTAACATTTGTTTTCAAGAATAGATGAGAATGAATGTGTAGATGATGGTCTTATCCCTCTCTCTTTCTCTTTTCTACTAGCACTGCCAGTAACTCAAATAAGAGCACACCTGCCTGCTCTCCAGTCCTGCGTAAACGGTCGCGCTCTCCCACACCACAGAGCCAGGAGGGTGAGAATATGGTCGAGAAGGGTTCAGACCACTCCTCTGACAAGTCTCCCTCTACGCCTGAGCAGGTTGTCCAGAGAACATACTCCCTGCAGTCAGCAAGAAGCGGGGGAAAGAACTCAAAGGTGAGCGACCAGGAGTTGCTCCTTCTTTATCCGTTTACTTATGTACCTGTTGGAAATGAAGGTGTGCTGCACTTTTACTGGAGTTTAAAAACATATTTAGTATCTCAGCAAGAATGCTCAACAGTGTGTCCCTTCCACTGAAAAGAGTTGGCACTGTGAGGAGAGAGATTCCCGGTAGAGAACAAATACACAGCACTTTGTGCCTCACAAAGCTGTTCTAACATTTTCACAGAATAGCTGTTGTGAAAGACTTCACTGTGGGACACAAGGTGCCAATTTCACACACATGGATTAAGGTTAGACTGGTCAGGGTAAGGCTTAAGACACTTCTATGAAACTGTGAGTGATCTCTGACTAAAGGCATAAACACCACACATTACGACACATTGCTGTATGTGATAACTAGGCAGACGTATTTAATTTATGAAAATACAGCATAAAAACTTGTATCTGTAAATCTTTCAAAGTTAAAGAACATATTGCGTTCACTTTAATGCTAATACAGAAGAAAACCATTAGCATGAAAGTGCATGTGAAACAGTTACACAGCCTAAATAGGTAGACAACAGCAAATTGAGGTTAGCAACGGAGAGCTTTTCTTTGATGTTTTATAGTGACTCTACTGACACTGTAGTCGAGGTGACGTTGCAACTCTTGCTGTCACATGTAAGCCATTCACAAACAAGTCAGAGTCGGCCCAGCTGTGTTCCTTTTTTCCAGTGTAGTGACGTACCCTTTATGATTGCTTATTGACTTGTACGTACTGATATGTAACTAGCGAGATGCAGCTATCACTCTCCCCCCTCAGGAGAGATTGCACCTTCCTCTCCATTCCAGCCTTTCATTTTTACATCCCATATACTCCCTAGTCTTTTACTCTCCCTTTCCTTTCCTAAAACTACAATTTGATATCCGACGCACTGATTTGTGTTTTGTTTAGTTATTTTAGCTGATTTCTCACTATTAGGATGTTTTTGTGTTCATCGAAAGGGGACGCTAGAGTTAGGGAAGGATGAAGAAATCTTGTGCATCAGCCAACTCTGGGATGAAATCAGTGATTCAGCAGACAGGGCAATGAAACAGCATCTGCAGGGATACGGTGTGGTGCACAGTTATAATTAAAGCTTTAAATAAGGTGCAGCAGCTATCAAACAACATGTCTTCATCAAAGTTACTCTGGTGAAGACATGCTAGTTGTCCAAAGGATGTTGCACCTTATTAAAAACTTACCATACTAATTAAAACCATGTGCTCAACACCATATCCTTCCTAAACTAGATGGATTTGTTGTCTCTGTTACGTTTTGTTTTGGGCCCTTTTGGTTTGTTTACCTGTTAGATAGATATCCTTACATCTTAGGAACAGACTTCCACAACATACATAGACGGGTCATGAGTTAAGGTTTTGCTGATAATACAGGAGTAATATTTTTTCCATTTTTTCTTCTGATTCTAAGATTGTTTGAGGATATTCAAGAAATGATTTCAGCCTGAACTTCAGTTGAATGGTGTGTTTAGGTTCACATTTTTTCAAGTCTGTCTTAAAACAATAGTCAGGTGAGGCGCCCGGTAGCTCATCTGGTAGAGCGAGTGACCCATTTACTAAAGCTGGGTCCTTACCGCAGCGGTCCGGGTTTGTTTCCAACCCGTGGTCCTTTGCTGCATGTGATCCCCACTCGCTCCCCCCTGTAGTATCTCAGCTGTCTCTGTCAAATAAAGGCAATAAAAAAGAGGTTTTACTTACTAGAATTTTCCCATTGCTAGTATTGGCCGTGAAGAGATCCTGCCTTAATCTGAATCCAGTAGAAGTGATACAAAAATACGCCACAACGTTTAGCTGAAGTTGATGTAACAAAATACACTTCAGCAGTCTGATGTGTATTTTGTTCCCCATCACAATTACAATGGAAGCACATTAGCAAGTGATCTCTTGGCGATCAGAATAAATTATTACAGCAAGCAAAAACTTGTCCAATGTACATATCGACATGTGAGTTTTGTTTCAAGACAGACTTGAGAAAATGTGACCCTATCCTTTAAGTGCAAGTTGGAGAACTTAGTGTCACTGACAACAGGTTTGCTGTGTTATATACGTGTTTCCTGCTTCCTGAATAGACACGCCATTGATTGTTAATTTTCAGACGTATGTTTTAGATCTCTACGGTGGTTGCTACAAGTCTTAATAGTTAAGAAGAAAACAGGAATAGAGCCCCTGAATGATTTAAGATCGCAAGAGCTTATTTAAGAAGGAGAAACTGAAAAGGTTAAAAACAGAACAGTTGATCAGGTGTTGTAATTGCTGTCCTCCCGCTCATCTGCATCTCCCTTAACATCTGAACTCGGTGATAGATTGAGTCGTTGAGGTTATTTCACAGAAGGAGCATGTGGCTCTAATGTTTTGCATGCTCAGCATTCATTTGAGCTTCCAAAATGTTAGAAATAAGCCATGTCACTCCCGTCCTCATTTACCTTCTCATTCTGTCCTCATCTGTTTTAAATCACTTGTTGTTTTTGTCTCTTTTTCTTTCATCATTTTTTGTCTCCACAACACAGTGTGCACGCCTTCTCTCTTTGCTGCTGCTGCTACCTGCCATATGATAATGTGTGCCATCTGATAATGACTGTTCAGCTCTTCTGTTTGTACTTTCAGCTGTTTCTTCTTGCAGTTTATTTCTTTTTCTTTTCATTTTTCTATCTGATTTTTCTTTGTTCTTCTCCTGATTGCATGCTAGTCTCACAAGCGACTTTCCAAAGTAAGCATTACTCTTTTTTCTGTTCTTCAAATATCTCTGTGCCCACCTCCCCTCTGCCCCACCTCTTGTCTTGTGAGCTGCTCTGTGGAAATGTCCGAATCCCGTTTGCAATGCTTCGACCTGAACCCAGCTTGTTCCTGTGCACACTGCAACCGTTCCAAGCCCCATCTGCACCCACAACCATAGCAGATGGACATTTCTTAAGACAGACAACTGCACTCACTTCCTCTCCTCTCCTCTCCTGTACTTTCCTTTCTTTCCCTTTCTGGTGATATGCAATGTAGCAAATTCCTGATTATATTTTCAAATATTTGTATCAATCGTGTCTATAAACGTAGTCAGGGTCAGAATCTGCTCTTTTTTTGCTATTCAAATGTAGAGAAGAAAAAGAATTAAAAAGGATAATACACACTTTTATTAAGATTCTGTCCGCTTCCAAGAATGAAAATCTGCTGCCTAATAAACAATACTGCAAATAAATTCTCTTCTCTTTCCCTTTTCCTTTTTTATCCGCTTTGGCCTGTGTCCCGTCCTTCCCTTTACAAACTTACCCCGTTGTTACATTTTGGTAATGAGAGCTTTATATCTGTCATGCTGTGTAGCTGCCCGACTGCTGAGGGATAAACTCTTAAAAATCCTGCCAGCATCCCAGTCCAGAGCTCCAGCACCACATCATTATTGGAGCAACCTCTCTGTTGCCACATGAGAGGATCCCTCCTGCTCTTTTTACTCGCACCATGAGCCCAAAACCCCCCTCCCCTTCCTTTAAATACACCACAGGCTGCTTTGTTGCTTCATCCATTCAATTAAATACTTGTCAGGCTTCATCCCACTTTTTTTTGTCACTCATAAAATATATGGCGTTTGAGTATATAGGGAGTCAGTATATAGGGTCTCACTTGTGTGAGAATGTTGTAGACACAGGCAGAAATAGGACGCTCAGACACAGGAAGATCATAAATGAGAGGTTGATATGAATAGCAGCCTCATGATGCTCTATTTGCTGCTATGCAGTTGCACAGTCTGTTTCACACACACACATACATCTCAATTGATTACATCACTTTTCACTTGTGTGCCACGGTGCAAGCCCCCCAGCCCCACCAACCCTAGTACAACACGCCCCTCCCCCCACCAGACACACACACACACACACACACACTTGAGCCTCTGTGGTCAGCAGTGGGTCACATGACATGGCGTGAGGTCGTCCTGGCAACGTGAGCTTGATCACCCTAGCTCTAATGCAATCCAAATAAAAGAGTGCATTCAGCGAAAGGGGTGCCTCTCTGGAGCAAGCGCCATATGATGATGATTTGACAATAATCAATCTGGCTTCTCATGTAACATGCAAGCTAGGTGGAGAGTTAAATTTAGAAACATTTTCAGCGTCAGACCTCTGAAACTATCACATTGTAATGGCAGTTATGTACCCCAGAGAGGTTTATGAGCCATACACTCATTGGACCTCAGCTCCTTTCCTCTCATTTTCTATTCCTTTCTGTGTTCATGTTGCTCACTGCTTTGGTTAACATTTTGTTTTCTCTTTAATTTTCTTTCAGTATGACAGACTAAACCTGATTAAAGTAAGCATTTCTTCTTGTTTTCATTTGACCCATTGACAATCCCTGCTGGCCCCCATTAAATCCCCTGGCCCTCCACTTCCTCTGTAGCTGTTCGACTGTAGGATACCCTTGATAGTTTCAGTCCCTCGTGTCCTTTCCCATGCTTTCCATCCCCTGAATTAATGTGGTGAAAGGACCGTGATTTGTGAACTGTGTAAAATGGCTTTTTTTTTTTTTTTTATGTCTTTATATTCAAGATTCTGCATCAATTAAAGCCTGCATTAAAGTCATAAGCAGATAAATTTTTTCAATCTAAAAACTGATGCCACCCTAGTATTTACAGTGACTGGGCAGGTCCATCACATGCACTGTTCTCTTGAGTACTTTCCAACAGTTTTGTTGATTAATCTGTACTGACAAGAAGTATTTTAAAGGGCCTGCTTGCCATCGTGAGCGAGACATTTTTGATGTTTCTAACTCTGGGCTGATTTCTCCTCCAAAATTCACTTTTTCATTTAATGACAAGTTTAACACAAAAGATGTTCCTCGAAATGTGGTCGTTATTAATTCTTCTGAAGCGAAACTGTTCACATTTCTGTAATCTACAACCCCATATGTGGTGACATTTAAACCAAATAATACGGTTTAGAGTTATAGAAACAGACCAAAACCACTGAAAATCCCAGAGGAGTCCCAGGCAAAACTCTATTTAACTGTTGGATATTCTCTCTCTCTCTCTCTCTCTCTCTCTCTCTTTCTCTCACTCACTGTCTCTCTTTTGCTCCACATGTATACAGTCACAATAAATAGTCTCTCTCCATGTAAACAATGCTGTCATGAATGTCACAAACTCACTAGCGTGCAGTCACACAAAGTCAACCACAGTGGCACACACACACACACTTTATCCAGACAGTGGCCTCAAAGTAATTCCTCTCTCGTGTCTCTGTCACCTTCAAATCAGATTAGCCCACATTAGCGCAGCTATCGTCACAGCCAGGCCTCAGGCCTGCTACTGCAGCGTACTGCCCACTGACACCAGGCACTCTAGATACCCACCAAACCCTGTCAGACACAGAGAAAACTGATGACGCGAGACACCAAAGAGAAATGTAATGTGTTTCAGGTTTTTCAAACAGATATATGCAATACATTTTTCTACATTTAGTGTCCATTTGTAAGAGTTATTATCCACCAGGTTAACACAAGAAAATGTTTGAAACACATTCTCTCTCAATCTTCGGCTATATTATGATAATCGCTATCATCAAGTTTGCAAAAATGCAGTAATGTTTAACCGTGGTCTTGCTAGGAAAGGTCCAACTATAACTTATCGTAAAAATGTCTAAATAATATTTAGTTTTTTGTTGGTTTAACTTAAAATTTGGTGCTTTTATAAATTGTACCACTGGAATCAAACACTGGATATCACTTTTTACCTCTCTATTCTCCTTCTCCCCCCCCCCGTGAATACCCTCTTCCTTGTTTCACCCTCTGAATGATCACCTGCATGTTTCCCCTCTTGGACCTTTGCTCTTAGACTGTTAGAGCGAACAGTGTGTTTTACATGTGGCTGGAAAATGTTGTAATGTCGTAGTCATGATTAAGATATATCTCTGCTGCCCTCTGCTGTTATGAACTGCAAGAGAATCACTTTGTTGTTTTATGAAGAGCACACAAAGTTATAAATGATAGTAGGTCACCAAGTCTTACCAAGAAAACTTGCTAAGAAGGTGACATCGCTTCACTTGTTATTAATTCGTTCTAAGAAGTTTCATAAATCAAATGGTTGTAAAATGTGAAATGAAGATTCCTGGAATAATTTTACACTGGAACAATTGTCAGATAAATTATAGGTGACTTCTAAAGACAGAGAGACTGACATATCGTATTACAGGAATGTTCAATAAAAACACGATAACAGTATTAAAACAATATATCTAATGTATTAACGCAGTATATGGCAGGTTTGGAGTGAAATTACTTTCAGTTCTGCCAGTAAAGGAAGCAGATTCTCATAAATCATTTTATTTTGAAAGATTTGTTTATGTGATTGCTCAATAAATCTCTGTAAATATCAGTGTTATCTGTTGGCCGCAGTGAGCGAACTGAAAGAGAATTTCACTGTTTTTACCTCAGCACTTTGAGGTTCAAAATCAAGCAAAGCTGAAACGAAACATACAGACTCTGGATTTTAAATGGTGTTGATAACTTCCTGTAATTCCTGGCAGGAGTGTGAGGTACAGTATGACCTTCACACCGCTCCCTCTGTATGTCTGTGTGAACCCACAAGCCTGCTGCTGTATTTGTAGTAGTTTCACACAGTTAAATACATACTCTGTCTCTCTTTCTCTCTCCACAGAAGAGCCAAAGCTGGTACAACGTAAGTCACACCTTGTTTTTATTTACATTATCAACACATGTGATCTTGTAAGTCTTTTATGGGTGTATATGTGTGCTGGTGTGAGTTCGCGTCATGTGGGTGACTCCTGGAAGTCTACTGGAGCTGTTGTAGTGGCGAGTGCTGCTTATGTGATGAAAGGTCGGTGTCCTTGACCCTGTTTACTGGAGCACCAAACCACTAGTGTGGGTTACTGGTCCTCCAGGCAGGGATTAGCACGGGCTTAAAAGAGCAACAGGTGGACCTTCCTGATTCAGGGAATCAAGGGAATACAAAGGCTACAGCAGGACTTAAAACACTTAATAACATTACTTTCTTTTTTCTTCATGGTAGACACAATTTAGACTCCACAAAGCCAGAGTGTTGCAATTTTATATTGCGCCACAAGATGGTGCACTAACACTACTTCTGACCCCACTATAATTCTTTGGTCAGTTGCTGAACAATCTAAATAACTATTTTCAACCAACCTATACACTGCCTGTTGTGTTAATTAAGCCCACAAAGTGAGCAAGAATAATAAGTGTTTTACTTTACACCTCTCTGTGTGAAACCGTAGTTTCTCCAGAAGTGTCTTTACTGGACTTTTTCCCATTTTATGTTGTTTTATTTCTTTTTTTTTATTCCCTGTGTATACACTCTTCCCCTCTCTCCCCAGCATGAAAGACAACACATCCTGAGAGTAAGCATGACTTGTATTCTTGTGCAACCCTGGATATCTTTCTGTCTCTCTATCTCTGTATTTTGGTTCTCAGACTGGTGGAATGATAATAACTCTCCTGCCTGTTTCTCATTTCATTGACTTCAAGTCAGTGTTGTTACCACCTTTCAGCAAAGCCATACTTTGGAGGAAGTCATTTTGACACTAAACATGTAACAGTATTTGTCCAACTAAAGTTCTATAGTTGAAAGTACAGAATAATTCTCATAATAGTGGTCTTATTAAATTCTTTAAAATGTATTATTAGTAAGAGAGAACTGGATTTGCCTTTGACCGTCACCACTCAGACTTCTAATTCTGGTACGCAACAGGTGGTAGCAGGCCCACTGAGTTTCTCACTGTACTAAAAAAATCAACAAACCATCCCAAGGGCCTCTGGACGAGCCTTGAATGCCTTTGAACAACAGGGGAATGGAGCATGGTGCTTTATGTCGTGGCATGTTTCCCTCCAGCCTCTCTGTATCTTTGTCTACATATGTCCTAATTAACAAGGGCAGTAGGACTTTTAGGCTTTAGGGTCCAGGTACGACAATCAGAAGAAAGCACAGGGAAGGTAGAGAAATGGAGTTCAAAAGAGGCTTGGTCCAAAAAGTCCAGACAGCTTCTTAAATACTTTTCTAATGCACTCCGCTGTAGTAAGCCACTCACATTTCCTCTACTGACCCGCCATCTAGAAATGAGCAACACAAGTAACAATGTAGAGTTGAATTTTACACTTTTAATGTCTAACAAATGCAAGTGTCATGTTTACAGATAACATACAACTGGCTACCAACACAGTTTGCATCAAGTGTACAAGATACCAGGACGGTCATCTAATGAACAGATTTTTGTATACCCCCAACTTATATTACCTACTATGTAGTCCCAAAAAATCAAAATCTTATTTATCTTATTTGCTTCAAAGATAAAGCTTGTGATATCCTATGAAAAGACTAAAAGCATCAATGAGATCAATCAGCAATGATACTATATCTTATGATATATTATTCCTCTGTGCCAAAAAGCTCCATTATTGTCCAAAAACTATTAAAAAGTCATCAGTGAGCCACACTGTTGTACTGGGTGACGTGTTCCTAATCATCAAACCACAATGACAGTGTTTTTAACCAAATGGTTTATGTAGATAGATGATTTTTTGCTGTGTGGAATTTACCATCACATGGGTTCACGATGGTGAATTTACCATTTAAAAAAATGTTCAATACTAGGGCTGTGTTCCTGACATCTTGTACACGCAACCTTACTCATAAAATTAATACTGAAGCTCAGTAAATAAGTGAAATATGTCCAATCGGTACTTTTACTTCAGTTGGCTGGGACTGTATGTGTATGCGCCTGCATGTAGGACAGTGTGTATGTGTGCAACTCTACACGGCAATGATGACCTCCCATGGCACTGAATCCACAATGATTAAAAGTCCATCCGTCCTATTGTGAGTTCTGAGCCTGTTAGAGATGCACACAGTGGCCATCTTTCTTCAGCAGCCCTCTGACAGCGCCTGTTCATTCGCTTTGCATCTACACAAGTTGGTCGCAAACGCTTCCGCGGCACCCTCCAGGCAGTTAGCAACAAGAGGGAAAACACTGACAAACGGAGCACAGACACATGCGATTTGTACTTTAGACAGTGAATGATTTGAATTTGTTCAGATTTGCATTGATCAGCATTTTCACATTGCTTCACTCGGATCAATACACCCACGCACATACCTTGCCTGACTTCCCATCAAATAAAAAAAAAAACAACCCTTGTAAAAGGATTGTTGTTTACAGGATGGACACACACACTTCCAGCCCTCCCCCCCTTAAAACACTAAAACCCCACCCTGGTTTACAGTACCAGCCTCTTCCATCTCCTGCTGTTTGTCCAGCGAGTTAATAGTTAACTAAATCTATAAACAGTGTGTGTCCACAGTTCCACCTCATCCCAACTCTCACACTGTCACCTGAACACTGGACGCCGCATCAGTCAACAACAGCCTCTTTCTTTGCTTGATTCATTGGAGAAAAAGACTTGAATGTGCGAGAAATAAAGGACTGCTCTCAGCACGGACGTTTCGAAGAACGTTTTGTTCCGCAGTCGATTTTTAGCAGATGAACCCACATTCCGTTGAAATTTCATCCACATGATGTAAAGGCATTTTTAACTGGTTGAAGGCCTTTTTATAACTGTGTGTGAATGATCAGCACTGTTTTCCAATGAGGCCTGCTGACTGAAGATTATTTTCCGAGTCTATTTTTTTCTGCTTCAGATGTGTCTGGTTAAAGTGAGGATTGGGAAATAATAGCAGAGGAAAGGTGGAAGTCATGGCTCCATTCAAGTGCACATAAATGTGGGCTACACATTTTCTTACTCCAGCAGGAGTCAATGAGCTGCACGCTTTAGCAACACTTGTGTTTTTCTTCTATTGCCACTGCGACCTCCATCAGTATGCCCACCTTCTTGACTCTTGAAATATTTTTAGTTGGGAATAGTGGGAGGACATGCGTGCCGATTGTTTTTTAAGCACTGCCAAAATAGGAGCTGCGAGCTCTGCGTCTTTCTTGCCTGCTAAGAGTGACAGAGGGTGATCAAGTATCAAGAGTACATGAATGACCTCAATACTTAGGCGGGGAGAAAGTAGGGGACCACTTCCATACCTTCCATACTTTCAATACCTTCAAGTCAACGCTGATCGGAGCTTTGGATACCTTTCATTTGGATTCCAGCATCTTTTTATCGATACAATGAATGATCAGATGAAATAAAGAAATATTTCCAGTATGTTGGTCCAACCTCTTCACCCTGCGACTGAAGCTCTAGACTGCAGACCCTGTCAAGATTGATGGTGTTGTTTTGCAGGCGGAGGTAACTGGAGGTTATGCTCACATCTGTTCTCTGTAACTCAATCACTTTGTCAGACAGCAAGACGGACTCAGCACACACTTCAGCGGACTGAAAACATTCATTTCTCTTTATTTATTCAGCCCTGTTTACTTTCTTCTTACTGTAGCGTCTTTCCTTTCGAGCTACGTCTTTGTTTACATTAGTCTGCTTCATTCTTTGCTGGTCGTAAACTAGGCAATTACAAGGCACTCAGACCTGGACAGCAACACACACACACAAGCTCAGCTCACACACTTACTAGGAGGAGTAAGCTGGGGAAAAAAGGAAAAAGCTACTGGCATGATAATAAAGGACTTGTTGGCCGGGGTTACTAGAGGGCAACGGCCGTAACTCCTCTCCCTGTGTGTGTGAAAGGAAGAGAGAGAGAGAGCCAGAAAACGACAGAGCGAGACAAGGATCATGTGGCTGGAGTGTGCTGTGTCCACCGCTCAACACTGAACTGGGAGCAGCACCCAAAACAGGGGGCGGATACTCCAGCTTCCAAACCACTGGACTCACAAGCTGTCTCCACTCTTATTTTCCAAACCGACTGTAACTGACAACTCTCTCCAACATCAGAAGAGCCCGCTGGGGCCCCCTTTTAGGAAAATTTGCCTCCTTTCAGGCGCCAAAAAGGATCTGGCGCGGTGAAATATGGAATTGTACGAGGATTGTACGATGTCGGACTGGGAGGCCGTGCTGGAGCTGGATGAGGCACTGGCAGGGTGGCTTCTGCAGGGTCCGGCTAGAGGGGAGTGGGGTTGGGAGTGGGGCTGGGCTGCCTCGGACCTTCAGGACCCTGAGTGTGACTCTGAGGAGATCCCTGCTGTAAGTTGACCTCCACTTAAGCTGAGAGGAGTGAACAAAATGAAGTGAAGAAGCTAAAGAAATGTTGGCTTGGCAAAGATTATCGAGCTCTGTTTCGGGGCAGAGTGCAGTCACAAGAGAGGGGAAAACATTTCACTGTACACTGCTGTAAGCATTCTGTGGTAATTCCCCACTACTAAAGAAAACAACTGGGTTGGGTATGAGTCATAGCTATTTGAATTCTCCCCTAGCTCATAGAGGCCTGTTGTTTGGAGTGTTCATTGGACTACAGAGTAGGTGTGTTTGTTTGTTTGTTTCTGGTCATGGATAAAGGTTTTATGAAAGAAGCATCCTGATGGTCTGTGCAGTTAAACTCAATTTCAGGCAATTAGCGGGGGCTTTCAGAGATGTCACTCACATGTTTTCAGAGCACTTTTTCTCATCACTGCATTTTTCTCAACGGCCAGTAGAAGCAGAAACCAATACTCCCAAACAGTATTTCAATGTTATTGTTTTTACAAGGGAGGGACACGCAGTGATTTTTAATGTGAACGAGCTGTTCTTTTCCCACCAGCCCTGATCCAGAGAAATATATTTTTCTTTTGTCTCACTATACCTCTTGTTACTGTATTGGCGGCTATTGTTTCCTGAAGCTTTCCTGTTGAAGGAAAAGCATCTGGCACAGACAGTGAGAGCTCTCACTTTGGCAACATTTGGAGATTTTATGCATCACAGTCTCTCTCTGTTAATAATCATGTCTGCTGAAGCCAAGCAAATGAGAGTGTGATCTCTCCCAGTGCTGAAATGTTTTTTTGACCAGGTTAACAAAACTACTGTGTCAAGTTTGAGGTTCGTTTGGGGTTCCATCAGTTGTGCTACCCCTCGTCACTAAACAGAAGCCTCGTTGCCAGATTTGCTCTGTATTACTCATATTAGAAATGCTCTGTCATTGCAGCATGTGTATTGAATGATGTGCAGCTGGGCTGATGTTTTTGGGATTGCGCTTTGAGTCACTTTATTTAGAATCAATAACGATGCAGCCTTAGGGATAACTCAGGTCACATACCTCTGCTTGCCATTCACCATACATCCATTTCCAGTGCCGGTCAAAATCACCCACAGAATGATATCCACGCTATAATTAGAGTAAACCAGACATCCTGATCAAACCTGTGGGTGGTTTTAACGCGGTTTTCTCACATGGTCATGGAAACAAATAACTCGGGCTGCGTGGCGGAGACAACACTTGTGAGTGAGCAAGTCAGAGAGCATGAAGAGTGTGAGTTTGAAGCATATGCGTGTGTGTGGTGGTGTTTCTGACTCTGCCTGTCACTGCAGGTGCTGAGCCCGACATACAAGCAGCGCAATGAGGACTTTAGGAAACTCTTCAAGCAGCTCCCAGACACAGAGAGACTCATTGTGGGTGAGTGGACGACATGCACAAACAGGGACCATCTGAGGGATGGGAAGGGTGCAGCTAAATTGTTACTGATTAGAAAATGACAGAGAGGAGACTCAACAGAGAGGAGACTCAAACAAATATTGGACATGCACGTACATGATGACATGATTCAAATATGTCTTTATCAGTGACACTGCAAACAGTACTCTCTCTGCTCTGTGTAACTTATGACCTGATAATTAACTTTTCCAGCAGTCTAAATTACCTACCGCATTGTGCCATGAACACATAGTGTCACAAGTTTAGCCAATTTGTTGTTGCATAATTTTCTCAACTCCAATGAATACTGTCATTGTCTGAAATGCCTTCAAACATAAAACTCTAGTGTAAAGCTGAGCTTAGAGTGTGACTGATTTGACATGGTTTAGTAATAATGATTTCACAGCTAATAAACAAGCTATACACACAGCCGGAGCACTGAAATTTACTGCAGTGAGGTTGTGACAGTGAATTTGATTGGCTATTTGCTTGTTCTTTTTTCTGATCTAGAGATGAACATACTTTTGATGATTTGTATTGTAATAACATAGTTTCTCTGTGATTCCTTTTGTAATTTCTCTGATTACTTTGACGTCTTTATGTTCCAGACTACTCCTGTGCTCTTCAACGGGACATCCTCCTGCAAGGACGACTCTACCTCTCTGAGAACTGGATCTGTTTCTATAGCAACATCTTTCGTTGGGAAACACTGGTATGCTTGTTAGCAGTTGTTGGCAGCATTGGATCATACTATAATGTGTGTGTGTGTGTGTGTGTGTGTGTGTGTGTGTGTGTGTGTATAATTGTATGCATTTGTGTGTGTGTAGCTGACAGTGCGGCTAAAGGACATCTGCTCGATGACTAAAGAGAAGACTGCCCGCCTCATTCCCAATGCTATCCAGGTCTGCACAGACACTGAGAAGGTAAAAGATACAGAATGAAAATACAGGCATTTATATTAGTACCAGCATTGAGGAGACATGTTCCTGCCACACATTGACTAAAAGTGACTGGAGAATGGTTGGCAGCATATTAATGCCCACTGCCACTGCCAAATATGTCACTAGTAATGAAAATAATCCCAGAATACAATGGTTTAAACAGTGCTCTTCAAAACTGGCCTTTGTTTTCCACAGTTAGCGTTGTTTCGTTCCAGTGCTAGCCAGACTCATGCATGGTTATCGTGTGTTCTTCACAGCACTTTTTCACCTCATTTGGAGCCAGGGACCGAACTTACATGATGATGTTCAGACTGTGGCAGAATGCGCTGCTGGACAAGGTAAGCAAATCTGATCTTTTACTTGGTGATTAGGTGCCTAGGTAGGTCGCACGCACAGTCTTCTCATTTCTTACTGTAATTGGTCGATGCCTCTCCAGCCCTTGTGCCCCAAAGAACTGTGGCACTTTGTTCATCAGTGCTATGGCAACGAGCTCGGCCTAACCAGTGATGACGAGGACTACGTTCCCCCCGATGATGACTTCAACACGATGGGGTAAGTCTGTTTATGCTGCGGCGTCAGTTACTATGGTTACTGCTATAAACATTAAGCAGCCAATTACCTAATTAGCCAAAATGCTCTGTCACATACAAGCACACACTCAGATAATCCATTTAGATGCAAAATTACGCACCTAACATCCTTCTCAGCTCATTTACGCTGCAACTTGTAGTATCTGTGTTGAACTCCTTGGTTTACCAGCTGGGTTGCATGCTGCTCAACAACTAGGGAGAGCTTTAAGGTTGCAGAAGATGCAACGCAGCAAATACTGCATTCATCTGTAGGCTACAAAGATCACTCTTCAGTCCTTCATTTACATTTTCCCTTCATGTCTGTAGTGGATTTACTGGGCGAAATCAATACAGAGTCATGGTTTGAACCTGTTTGGTCTCCAATGCACTTGCGGTGTCAACTCGCTTTTGAGGAAACGTAGGCTATGTACTCAAACTGACAATGTGAGAGGAAAGATTTACTTCAAAGGCTGAACTGAGGTCCAATTAGATGGTCCTGAAGTGATTATGGCTTTGTTAATGAGAGATAATAGTCTACATACCTATTAGTAAAGTGAAGTGGAAAGAATTTTCAGTTCATTCCCACACTTTTAATGAAATCCAAAACCGCCTACTTTGTGGGTTTGAGGTTCTTTCATCTGCACACAGATTTATATGCACACACGTATACTAACTCAATTTTGCTGTGATCAAAACGTCTGAACTACTGCCCGCCTAGCACCTAGGCCAAATCACCCTATAAAAAGTCTGCAAACACTGCTTCAGGTCATACAAAGACCTAATTCATGATGTAAATGAGTAGATGTGAGTTAAGTTTTTGCTCTTGTCGCTGTTCTTTGGTGCCTTCAGGTTCAGTGAAGAGATTCCCAATGAAGAGAATGAGATCAACAATGACAACTTGTCTAAGAGCAGTGCTGAGGCCAAGCCTGAGGGGAGTCCTCCTCTGTTACATAAGAAGGTCGTCCCAAACAGCACCATCCCCAGCCCAGGCAACCATGACACACCCATCACAGTAAGTGACATATGTTGTTTCAACACTCACACATATATATACACATATATACACACATTCATCGATGTCAAATCAAGTGCAACACCTCTCAGAAAACTAGATATTAATAATAAGATATTTTCTTGATAAATATGAAAACATTATTGATGTGATTTGTTTGTCTTGTCCCAGTTCGATCTCCAAGCAGAAGAGTATGCAGACTTCCTAACAGATGGCGAGCTGCTTCCTTTGCCACTGGTAGTGGAAGAGAAGAGCAATGATACCAGCGGGCCTGGTGGTCCTGTCCCCTCACCCTCTCTGGATTTCAACGACAACGAAGACATCCCCACTGAGCTCAGTGACTCCTCTGAAACGCACGACGAAGGTACAGAACAGAATGAACACCTCTCTTTTTCATAAATGATGTATTTATCTAGTGGAAAGGCTTTGAGTGACTCATAACAGGATGATGTAGATGATAGCAGTAACATCTGAAACTAGTGAATTTATTGTCCTCTTGTCTATGTGTCTCTCGGACGTGTAGGTGAAGTACAGGCCTTCCATGAAGATCTGAATGGCAGGCAACACATCAATGAGGTCTACAAGTTCAGTGTGGACAAGCTCTACGACATCCTCTTCACAGAGTCGCAGTTCATGAGTGACTTCATGGAGCAGAGACGGATCTCAGGTCAGTATTTCTGATGCCTCTACACAGCTGACCTCTGACCAATAAAGGTAATACGCTCCCCTGCAGGCTTCAATTAATTAATTAAGTCATGCCTCTCTCTGTGTCTCTCTCTCTCTCTCTCTCTCTCTCTCTCTCTCTCTCTCTCTCTCTCTCTCTCTCCTTCATCATTGTGCTGTTTAGATGTGGCGTACCAGCCGTGGAAGAAGGAGGATGCTGGGAACCAGACCAGAGAGATCATGTACACCATCTCGCTGTCCAACCCCCTGGCCCCCAAAACATCCACAGCCAGTGAGACACAGGTACAGTCAACCCTGGTTTATCAGGCACACTTCTGAGTGTTGTTTCTGCCTTCTGAGTTTGAGATGGCTTTAAAAATGGCAATCATTTGAAGCACATGTTCTGTCCTTTGTCAGACTCTGTACAAAGCCAGTCAGGAGAGTGAGTGCTACATCATCGACGCCGAGGTCATCACGCACGACGTGCCCTACCACGATTACTTTTACACTCTCAACCACTACATTCTCACCAGGGTGGCCAAGAACAAGTGTCGGTTACGGTAAGTAAGACATGGATTATGTATTATGTTATTTTATTTTGGATTGTTTTTCAACATTACTTTTGAATTTGCTCCCAATTGGATAGTCTACCAATTTATATTTCCAGTTTTGTATCTTATTATAAAAGGCTGTCTCTCTAAAAGTATAAATGCATTTATGTCTGCCAGGGTATCGACAGAGCTGCGCTACAGGAAACAGCCATGGGGGCTGGTGAAAGGCTTCATAGAGAGAAACTTCTGGAGCGGAATAGAGGAGAACTTCCGCCATCTAGGTAAACTTGGAGTGTAGTCTGTCTCGTTTGACTATTAAAAACATAAAGAACTATTTCTGCACAGATGTATCAGTAGGGATTCGCTATGGTATTTTTGAGAAGGTTTGCAAAGTAACAGTCATGTAGCACTGCACTTTGTATAAATTGTACAAGATGAGACAGTTTGTCTTTGAATCACAGATTTAGTTTTCACATTGATTTTTTTGCCACTACTAGAGAAGAGAAGTGAACAGATACACAATAACAACTGCAACATGTAAATATTTTCAACACGTCTGTCAATCTTTAATTGTATCTGGATGAGATTCGATATGAATTTGTGAAAGTTGTCTTCCTCTTCTTCCTCAGACATTGCGCTGTCCAAGCTGGAGGAGATTCTAAATGAGTCCCACCAGCTGTCTCCGAAGGCCAAGGTGGTGAAAAATTCCACGGTGAGGCGGAAGAAGAGGCCACTCCCCCACATGCGCAGCCAGCACCTGGACGAGGCGCTCAGCCCCGTGACCACGCCGACAGATGAGGAAGTGATTCAGAGGATCAAACAAGTGGCAGGCTCCACACAAACCAGACACCAGAGTCCAGAACACCATCACCTGCCCGGAGGCCTCGCTTTCTACAGCGTCTCCAAACTGCTGCTCATCATCAGCTTTGTGTACGCAGCAGACAACACACACACACACACACACACACACACACACAATCTCTCATATTGGTATGTTTGTATATCTGGCTATCAGGATGCACATGCTCATCTCACATATATTAAAACAGAGAATTTTCTCTGAGTCACTTGTTTCATGAGTTCATAAAATGAGTTTGTGGATTTTTTGTCTGATATAGGATTACTTTTTTTTTTTTTTTTTTTGCACTCTTATAAATATCTCATTGTTGGTGTCTTGAGTGTAACCTCTCTCTCCTCTCCCTTCATTGCCATCCATAGGATCTGTCTAAGGTACATAATCTGAGTAGTCGGCATAGCCAGATGCCAGATGCATATATAGAAACAGTATGCCCAGCATATTGGCATTGCCATCTACAGATTAGGGGAATTTTGAATGAATAAAATGCAAAGGGAAAGACTCATTTGTTGACTCTCCGTCTTGCCCTCCTTCAGCCTGGTCCTGCTGGTGTTCCTCAACATGATGCTCTTTTACAAGCTGTGGATGCTGGAGTACTCTGCACAGTCCTTAACAACCTGGCAAGGTCTGCGGCTTCATGAAAGGTACACACACACACCTTTTTAGCACCCATTTATACAAAACTTATTTATTACAGAGATTCAACATGGCTGATTCATATTTTGGGCATTTTGGAGTCTTAAAAAAACATATCTGTCACTGCAGAGATGAGACTGAATGGAGTTCTGCTGTAGTTATTTGGCTGTTTGCCCAAAAGGCAATCACACACAAATAAACACATACAGTTACAAACATACACATTTACACACACACACAGTTAAACATACACACTAAACTATATCCATATGGCCGTTGACGTGTGTGACAGGAAAACACTGAGCTCCTAAAATTACCACTGAATAGCTCTGGGCTTACTGAAACAATTTACCAAACTGTTTGTTGGCAGTCCCTCAAAATGGAAGTCATGCTTCAGCGGCTGCACCCTGATGTTGTGTGTGTGTGTGTGTGTATGTGTGTGTGTGTGCATGTGCATGTTTCCCAGTAAACTGCCTCAGACGCAGATGGAGTGGGCCCAACTCCTGGAGGCGCAGCAGCGTTACCATGACACCGAGCTGCAGAAGTGGAGGGAGATTATCAAGTCGTCGGTAGTGCTGCTAGACCAGGTACGGCAACTCCTCGAGAATTGGCTTGCTTTTATTTTGGGGGTTATGGGTAGACACTGCTTGTGTGACTTGATGTATCTCACTGTGATGTAACATTGTCTACATTTGTCCCGTTATCCTCAAGAATCATAATAAATTCATGCTAAACAACCAAATGGTAGAAGCAGAGTAGGGGTTTCTGGCACAACTTCACTTACTTTCAAGGTGCAGAGGAGAAGGGGGAAAAGGTCTGAAGAAGTGAAAGTCCCAGCAACACTTGCAGTATAAAGAACAACTTTATAGTCAGACCACGGTCTTTCAGCTTACAACCTTCATCAGGGTCATCATAAAATACATTACAACACAATGTATGGTGCCACAAATGAGAGGGTATTTTCTGTATCTGTTGCTGAAGTACGGGAGGTATCCCACCAGCAGCTAATAATATCAGAAAATACCTTGGCCGGGAGAGGGGTTTAAGTCACTGTCCATGTATTAATAACGTTCCCAGTTCAAATATAGCCATCAAAAAATCTGTAAAAAATGTAGTTTTCCATCCTGAGAATATTACAATTAAACAAACCACTCCACCCCAAAGGTGAGCCAATGATTTGAATAGAGCCTGTAAATAAATGTATTTTAGGGAAGCTATTGAATAACCTTCTCCTCCCCTGAATGACCACCAGTTGCAAGTGTTGCCCAATGGCACCATGGGAAAAATAATTAAATAACCTAAAGCAAGAAAGGAGATTGTTACTTGTCCCATGCATTAATGTAGGTCAGTGTTATTTTACTGTCTTTAATAAACATGGTAACGCATTGTTTTCTCCTCTTGTTCCTCTTCTTCAGATGAAAGACTCTTTATTGAACCTCCAGCGAGGTATTGGTTTAAGGGACTACAGCTCGGAAGCTGAAGAGAAGAGAAGTCGCTACCACTGACACACCACCACAAGGCCATGAGGGCATGCTGTGCAATATAGGACCTGTTTTGTTCGTGAACCAGTATGCAGGCAGCAGCGAGACGGACAGAGAGAGGACAGAGGAGGGAGGCGGGGGACCAACGATGAGCTGGTCCAATAGACACAAAGAGAGGAACAGTCGTGTCCAGCGCACAGAGGTTAAAACCCCCAGGAGGAGGAAATCGTGGACAGAATGTGCCCCTACCACACACAGGAACTGAGGTGTACCCAACATCACTGAGGCATTGTGGGAGAGTGCGAGACTTGCTTCTTCTCTGCACCTGTGGGAAAACCGTTTCCTTCTACTCTCTTATTTCCAAGTGCATCCTACTGTAAGCCAAGTCGACCAGACAGTGGCAGAGAGAAAGAAGGAAAATTACTGCATGCGTTTAGACAACCTAGCTCCCCTCAGTCAGTGTTAATGTGGTCCAGTTCCAGTCTATGTGTGTCATAAAAAGAAGAACAGAAGACGAGGAGAGATCGAGTCAAAGAAAGGGGGGTCCTTTCGAGTCTTAATGGCTTTCTACACTCTCTAGACTGTTCCAAACCAATAGTCCCCTAGAGGTCCTCGCTGCAGTGTCCCTTTGGTAAACCTCCATGTGATCTGAGTACAGTTATCGTCCCACAACCAAAAAGGAAAAGAACCTGGCCTGTATGGTCTCTGGCAGGGCTGGTTCCCTGTCAGACCGTTGAAATGTTTATTAAGGAAAATCTTTAAAATGATCTAAGCCAGTACTTTTACACACAATTCACATCATCTGTTGCCCCTGCCACAGTGTTAGCTACCTTACTTTGCATTATTTCTCATCCTTGAAGTAAGAATGTATTAGCCTAAACAAAAAGGCCAGACTTTGATCACAATTTATTAATATTTTTTAAAAAAGGGGATGCTGCAGCCATACCAATAGGGAGACCTGTGTTCTTACATGTTTTATTACTAAACTGTGACTATATCTCTTTAAAAATGTTTGAAATTAGAAAGAATTCTATGAATATATTTGAAATATATAAGAATATTTCATTATTTAATATATATATATTTCAAAATATATAAACATTACCTATATTTATTGTTAATTTATGTACATAAAGAAATTATCAGAGCTCTAGACCAGTTAAAGAATTTCTAACAAAAAGTGTTTTCTTCTAAAAATGCATGCCAGATATGTCTGTGACATGTCCAGTGTGCAAGTATGATTCTGCATTCGCGCGATTATATTCGCGCACGTGTGTGTGAGTGCGTGTGTGAGTGCGTGTGCGCACAAGTGTGTGTGCTGTAAAGTGTGACATTTTTACCATTTCACACTTGTATGTTTCTTATGGGTTTTTTCTTTTCTGGCTCCTGCAGCCAGACTGCCTTTTTTTTTATTCTAATGCATTTGGATGCCGCCTTGCATTAGCCCCACCAGGGAACAGTTTACAATCGAAGAGTTTTGTTCCAAAATGACATATCCAAAATCTGAAATCAAGTTACACCTACTTTAAAAAACTGATAGATTGCTTAAACTATCGATTGATGTCACAGTCTAAGTAGCTGAAATCCATGGTTGACAAAAGGGAGACAGGCTCAATCATCTAAATATTTAAGATTAAATAATGAACTTTTTTCTCTTGTAAATGGATATACAACATTTTGGAGATGAACCCTTCATCTGCCCTCTGTGAGCAACTCTTTATACTTGTCACCACATTAGTGGCTTGACGACTCTTTGCTAAAAGGAATTGTTTGACATTGTGAGAAATGGAGATATTCGCTTTTGGCTAAAAGTTGGATAAGCCACTATAAATAAGTGTAATTATTTATAATAACATATAAATGATAATATACTTAATAAGCGTATTTCCCAAAATGTCAAACTATTTCTTTAAAAAAAAAAGCTATATTATACTCTCCCCTCCCCCATTTCAAGTGACTGTCTTGGATGCAATGAAAGCATGAGAATTAACTTTACGCAACTAAATTGAACCAAAAGAAAGAAGTAGAAATGTACCTTCACAAATGATCATGTTGTTTTAAATGAAGTATTTATCATGTATGTCATGTATTATATATATACTGGATTAGGTGCAGCAAAGAGCATCTCTTAAGAGTTTGTCAACAGAGACCCCTGACACCTGACAGACTTAAGTAATGAAAGCACTTCCAAAAATCAGAAAAAACGTCTTTGTGTTAAAAAAAGAGAAAGTGAAGCACTTTAAGGCCTTTTCGGGTAAAGAATGAAAGCAAGAAATGGCAGCAGTTTTGTTTGGAGGTGAATGCAGGGCTGAGGAAACTGTTTCTGTGCTGTATTTTAGTTCATTTGACAATCACACTGGTGATTTACAACTTTCAAACTCAGCAGAAATTGTTGGATTTTTAATCCTGCTGGTTTGTTAATGCTCAAAAATAGTTATTCTGCCCAAATAGAATATCTGTGCGTTGTTCTATTTGACATGATAACATGCGGATCTCTTTCAGTGTCTCATCCCAAAGCCCAATGAAAGACTGACACTTTCTTGTCTATTTCAAGGCGAGGCAAGAATGATTTGTATGAGGGAAACGGTATCTCGTCTGTGTGCCTGCATGGCGTGTTACTGACTGACAGCAGAAAAGCTTCAGGATTGGACCCCTGTTGTGTGTGTGCGTATAGTACATTTGAAGAAGGCACTGAGTAAGGATAACAGGGAAACCTTAAGACCTGAATGTGAGTGGTTGGAAATGTTTTCTGTTTTATAGAAATCACTTTCACAATCCTGACAACATGAAAGATTATAATGAAGTTATTCTTCATGTATATGATGGTACAGAAATGTCATATATATGAAAATGTGATTGAAATGCTTTAAAGTGTTTGTTTTTAAAAGTGTATGATGAAATGGATTTCTTTTTCTTTTTCCTTTTCAGATGCTTGAATTGTATTTTTTTGTTTGTTTAAAACGTACATTCTCATTCTGATCTGAACGAGACGTGATAAATGCTTGATTAAGTCCCAACTCTGGTTTTATTCACACCTGATTTTAAATGTTGGGACACTGAAACTTTATTTCACTGTCCAGGCTGAGTGAAATCCTTCACAGGGACAAGAAACACATCCTCCCCAGTCCAAATTAAATATTCACACAGGCCCCAGAGGAACTGTCACAGCAGACCTGAATTCAATCTCATCAATCTCTACATTTATGCAAATTGTACCTTCATCATTCCCTTCAGAACTCCTGTGTTTCTCATTGGTACCAAGAAATTTGACTTAAATAAATCTAAGCTTCAATCTCTCACTCATAACACCGGTTAGTGGCTTTTTTTTTTCTCCAGTCTTTCTTCTCCAGCGTGCACACACACAGTAATCTGCGTTACACAAAGGATTGTATGATCGCTTCACAGTTTTGGAACCAAGGTGACCCGAGAGTTCTGGATGCCACCATTTTGTCACTGACAACTAATGAATTTTGCGCCTCATTGACTGTATCAATTGGCATTTTCCTTGCTGTCACAGAGCCGGCGAGACATTAGTGCCACCCACACAACACAGTACTCACTAACATGCCTGGTTATTAACACACGGTAGGAATCACACAACCTTTTGAAAACGACCACTGATCAAACTCATAGCGAATGCTCTTCGAGTGTGTCTTGATAGAATATGTACTGGTGTCGTTCTGTTCAAAAGAATTCTACTGTATGGTTTTTTTTTTTCTTTTTTTTCTTTTTTTTTAGAAAATGTTTTGATCTCTAGAGAGACTTTTAGTGAAATTTATACATGAGATAAATATACTGTAAGTATATGTTGTGTATATCTGCAGTGTGCACACACACACACACACACACACACACACACACTGACAAAAGAATCCAACCTGCGCTGTGCGTAGGTTTTGACTTGCCGATGACTTTGCCTCATAGACTGAAGATGAAAGTGGCTTTCTGGTTCATGTGAAATAGAGATTGGAAGTATGAATAAAAAAAGATATAATATACAAATAGTGTTGCTATTGATACTTCATTCATACTTTATTTTGACAAGACACACTAAAAATATTTGACTGAATCTCATATAGCTATATTGAATATTTAAAACAGGAAACAGGAGTTGTTATAAGACCCGGTATGTTTGACCTCAGGAGACTTTACAGTGGAGTAGTACAGAGGATGAGCACGAGGCACCAAGATAAAATATTCATCTGTTGCTGCACTTTTAAAAAAATAAGATCAAAAGACACTAAAATATTGATGTCAGCTATTGAAAGCATTGTTATTTTGGGAGTTATACACACAGTACAAGTTTCTCACAACCTCTGTTACGTTCAGAGCAGTCTGCCCACAGGATGCCTTTGCCTCCCTATTGTCTCAGTAATTACTCTTACATTAATGACCTATTAATTACCACTGTGTCCATGTTGTACAAACTCAATAAGTGAATTCAGTTGAAAGCTAAGAAGACAGTCCATGTGTAAAGAGGATGAGACTACTGATGTACGAAAGATGGAGAATTAAAATTAAGACATGTTTTAAGGCTTTTTTTTTTTTTTTTTTTGCAAATGTTAGTGTAGAAATAACCTAAAATAGCCAATGCCTTATTCTAAATATAAGTTACCAAGCATGCACTATTTACATTCCAGGTATACATATGTATAACTTCTTTACAGTGCTAACAGTTGACTGGCAGAAGACGCCCAGATGAACAGCTTTGTTCTTTGTTTTGGAGAGAACGTTTCTGATTTCTGATCTGAGGGGAAAGCTGCTTAAGATACACAAAATGGCACATCTGAAATATGATCTGTCAAAGTTTTCCTGTTACTGATCTTTCCAAACATGAATGTGTTCAGCATTCCTCAGCATTCTGAAGACATGCAGCACAAAAGCATCAGAGGGAGGATAAAAACTTGATTCCTGATTAAATAAAGAGGTAACAATATTATTTCTATTAACAGAACATAAATAGCTCATACATATCATACTCTATATACATATATAACTATTTCCCTGTTTATCATGTCTTATCCTGTGTGGTACCACAATCCCATTAAACTCTACGCTGTATTTCATAATGTTTTGCAATTTGCAGCATCTGTATTTTTGCACTGAGCAGCCTTCCCTGATGTTATTGTATCCTGTCTAATTGCCATCCATTTAAACAGCCTCTTTCACCAGTATTTCAGTCTTGTTAGTGGTGTATTCTTTGCCCTGTTACTACATGGTGGCTTTAAATCGTCTCAGAATAATAAAATCCCAGTTTACTATACGTCCAGAAATAACCATCCCCTGAAGTAGTCCATTAGTCCAGGCCAAGATGGGAAAATGGGTGAGGTCGACGCGTCAACGCAATGAATCAAGGGGGATGGGACACCGTTACGCGCAGCACCCCACCAGCCTCTCGCGTCCAATGAAGCCTCAGATTGGATTTGCAAAGGGGAGGATGACTCCCACTTTTCCCTCTGTGGCTGGTCGCAAAGGGCGGGGCTCCGTGCCTGCGTTTGACAGCTGCGAAATAGAAGAAAATGTATAGCGCATAGATGGTCTGGGAGACCATGCTGCTCCAAGGCAACCATACTATTACAAGGAATGGGATGCAGCATGGCCCTTTATAGCCTGCGAATGCCCTCGTAAATCTGGGCCAGTTGGAGATACAAGAAATACAAAAATAAGGGGAGTAATTACTTTTACTGTGCATATAAGCCTGGCATTTTGAAAGGGGGGCATGCACCGTGCGTTCTCGTTCCCGGTGACTGTGGAGCGCAGTCGGACCAAGGAGCGCCTGGAGGCGAGTCTGGCCGGGCTGTGCGAACTGGAGCTCCGCAAGCAGAGGCAGGAGTGTCTGGTGCTGGGGGCGCTGGCTCTGGGAGACCCCCTTCCCCAGGACAGCGCCAGAGGAGAGCTGGCGTGTTTCAGCAGCTGGGGGCAGGAAAACTTGACACTGAGGCGTCAGCTGGTAAGAAGTTTGAGTGCCTTTAACTGCGTGTTTGGATTCCAGCAGCTCTTGCATGTTGACTCACACCATATCACCACACCCTGGGTTGAAACCCCCCATTTTCCCCCATGTACCATATAGTCCTACATAGTTTTGAATATCTTACAGCCCTTGCAGCGTATCCTCATTGTAATCCGCTTGACCGTTGGATGGACTCTTGGTCTGGGCTGCGCCTTTTGTGTGGAGGTGACCTCTATCTGCAAAAAAAGTTACTCAACTTGATTAATAGGTTCTCTGTTTGAAAGGATGTAATGCGTTTCTGTGCCTTGGGCTGAGATTTATGTCTGTGGGTAACGAAATCAGGGGGTGGAGCACCCGCCGTTTGTGGCACAGACCGACTATTTAATGGCCCATTGTTCCCTCATCATGGACTTTTGTAGCTTTTACTACTTAACAAGCTCTTATTTGTGCTCTCCACAGATCATAAAGGAATGAGTTATTCCTTCAGCTTGCATGTTACTGCAGCAGCTAACCTTTTTATACCATAATAACCTCCCGTATAACTGAGGAGGGGGCTTCTCTCTCGCTGTGCGGAGCTCCGGTGAAGTTGCGATAAATATGTTCCGCCGTGACGCAGTGGTGTTGAGATTAACATTAGAATTAAAAACTGGGTTAATCGAGACAAATACAAGTTAATGTGACAGCGTTACGGCCCCAGCATCTCCCACCGGAAAGTTTTACGCACCGCTGCGCATGCCCGCCGCTATAAATGCAGTTTAAAGTGCCCTGCGTTTTATTTTATGCGTCTTTATTGTGCGCAAAGTTTTCATCTTTGAGTCTGCGAGTTTGGTTTCTGTTTGGCTGCTGCACGCGATCTGCCCCGACATCCCCACAAAAGGAAGCCATTATTAAAAGAGGGTGAAAAAGAAATTAAATCAGCCGCCTCCTCTTCACACCTCCTTCTCTCCTCCCTCCTTCCCCTCCGCCGGGGCCCTAACAATAGGCGCATATGGAGCAGAATACTAATGATGCAGACCGAGGCCCCAGTGAGAGGATATTGGTGGCCTCAGTTTGGTGTGTGCATGGCGTGGGCACTGTGCTGTGTTGCCTTGTGAGCTGGTGAATAATTCTGATTGAAAATAAAGATTATGCTAATTTGAAAAACTTAGATATTACATATTTATAATGACCTAAAACATGAGTGCGTTGGGGTCAAATGTTTCCTATGTGCACACAGTAAATTCAGATTCACCCCCCCCCGCTGGTGCTGCTGGAGCTGTCAGGGTGTTTGACTCCTCACGCACTGACGGGAAACAGCCATTTTCAAGATCAGTGAAGGAGCGACACGCGTTTTCCCGCAGGGTCGCATATTTTCCCGTTTTCATTTTGTGCGTCTGTGGATCGATGTTTATTAACTGTTATGCTTATCCAAGCGTGTGAGTAATTACACGGGAAATTCCTCGGGGATTTTTTTTTTTTTTTGTTGCCCGACAGGACTATAATTGAAGTCTCAAATTGAGTCTTCATCAGATACCAGGTCGCCATCTGCGTCCGAGGCGAATATCCCAATCTCGTCTTCTATGTAGGTTAACATCTCCAAAATGCATGGTTCACGGTGTGACACAGAAGCAGCTGACCCATGGGGACACTCTGTGTGTGTGTGTGTGTGTGTGTGTGTGTGTGTGTGTAGCTGCCTTACACATGAATGTGGCCCCAGACAGGAGGAGAGGCCCTTTCTCCTGCATACAGTTTGTGGTTGAAGGTGTTGACAGCTGTGGGACGCCAGACAGCAGCTGGGAAAGCATGGAGCTCTGACCTCCCTCCCAGCTACCTACTGTGTGTGTCTCTGTATGTGTATGTCTCTGTATGTGTGTGTGTGCTTGGAGAGAGCAGAAGAGAATATTTAAATTGCGTATGAGTCTGTGACATACTTGTATCCATCCATCTGTGTACAGGAGTGTTTAATTTTAGAAACCTTAAGTGTTCCAAAGTGATATTTCATTCTAAAAATTAAATAAATTAAAACGTTATTTGACTAATGGGATTCAAATCAAGTGTTGAATTAATATCTGTGCAAGTGCATGTTTAAAGGCGCATGCAAAAGGTCTGTGTATGAAAAGCAATGGGCACCTTCCCCACGCAGGATTGTGTGCATGGGTGTGCAGCAGGTTTTGCTTTTGTCTTGTGCCTCTGCTGAACGCTCGCCTGTCATCGATCAGGTTGTGTGTGTCCTTGTGTTAAGACAGGAGCACATCATTAGTGGGACTACAGAGCAGTTAGTCTACTCAGCAGTGACCAATCACTCAAGTGGATCACTGGATGGTTTCCTCCACTTGGTTCAGGATCACAAAGATTTTTTTTACCTTATTTGTACACAATGAGGCAAATGAGCTTCAGAAAATACACGCACAAGGTTGTCCAATACACCCTTGCAAATATTATATCCACAAATGTCATATGAGCACAGCCTGATAGCACGTCTCTCTTTAGAGACTCCATTCAGAGCGAACCCACCCTGCTGCCCTGCCTACAAGCCCCTGTGCACGTAGGACAGAGTAAGAGTATGCTAATGAATGCCATTCACTACGCTTATGTAAACACTTTGTGCACCTGTGTGTGTGTGTGTGTGTGTGTGTGTGTGTGTGTGTGCGTGTGAGTGAGTGTGTCTGTGTGCAAATTCAGCCTCCGTTAAATTAGAATTTCTCATTGAAATATAATTTACTTTATTAAAATGAAGCATTTAAAATGTCTGTATATATTTGTAGAAAGAAGGGATCAGCGGCTTAGTCGAGAATGTGTGCATGTGTGTGTGTTTCCGGCCTCCCACAGCCTTCTCTGTGTGGAGCCAGTCACAACATTGCTTTAATTATACGGGGTCCAGCAGTGCGGCTGCATGCCTTGTGAGCCCTGTTCCATAGATTTTTATATCCTGACGTTATTGTTTCAAAACCCTTTAACTGGTGAGATCTACTGAATCCTATTTTAATAGCTGAAGTCCATATCATAACCTTTTCTACATACAATCCTCAGTAGCTGAAGAAGTAACATGTCAATCAGACAGTAATCAGTCATGTCAGTTTTGTCCTGGATTCACCTGCTGGTCAGTCTTTTTCATTGAAAGAGCAGGTGGCCCTGATGTGTTGTACACCCAGTGTGTAACAGCTAAATGGCTATAGGTGAGGCTGGCTGCACAGAGTCCTCTATCTCCCCCATCCCCCAGCAGCCTGGGGCAGAGGATGCAGTAAAACAGTAATGATACAGTGTGCAGAGTGTCAGGGAACCAGTGTGAGACCATTAATAATAGAGTGCAATCAAAGACCAGCCAGAAAAATGGTCCTTGCTGCACTATGAACCTGCTCCAAAGCCACAACAATAAATGTTGTATTGTTTGTTCACCCACAAAGGTTTGTTTGTTTTCTGCAGGATTATAATTTAATAACTAGCATCATGCCTTCCACAGTATGTGTGTGTGTGTGTGTGTGTGTGTGTGTGTGTGTGTGTGTGTGTGTGTGTGTGTGTGTGTGTGCATGGCCACAAAGAGGTAGCAAGCAATCAATTGTGTGAATCTGCATAATTGATTCATTGATTTCCAATAGTCTCCCCTCCTCCCAGCCGTTTCTTTACCCCACGCCGCTAGCTAAAACAAAGCTCCCCACTCTTCGTTTCTGCTACACAAAACCATATTGATGTAGTAATGCTAATGCTTTGTTTATACTAAGACAATAAGCGCCCTTGTCGAGACAAAAGAAATGACAGTGTTTGGGGTGAAGAGGTTGTGTGGGAAGCATAGGTTAGCTTGGGTCAATTGGCTCTCAACAGCATTTGCAGTATGACCGCATTTAAACGGCAGGACAAAGGAGTCAGAGCTCTAACTGGTGCTCTGACCAAAAGATCACTCAGAGCAGTACAGACCTAGTTTCCTGCCTAGTTTTGATAAGACATCCACTGAGACATGAATACAGGATATCTTTTTTTCAAGCTCTGAAAGAATAGTGGAGTAAAGGTTACTTGGTCCAGGAAAATTGACAATGGGACCAGAATTTACAGCCATTTTAACAGCTCTGAGACGGTTGTACTAACATGTTCACAATGACCATAATAACATCTGATATGTAGTAGGTATAAAGTTTACTGGTTCACCGTTTTATTTTAGTGTGTTAGAGTGCTTACATTTGTTATTTGGCACCAAGCACAAATGAAAGCTGAAGATGATGGGAATGTCTTTAGTGTTGCAGGGAGTCATAAACCAAAGTACTGGACAAAATTTTAATTTTTTTCATGATTATAATTCATCCTGAAGGGAGCCTTAATGTCTACCAGTGACAATCCATCCAATAGTTGTCAAGATATGGCACTAAAAACCAAAAATGTCAACCTCATGGTGGTATTAGAGGTAAAAGTCAGTAGACTGTCCTCTGAATGTCTGTACAAACATCACGGTAATCCATCAAATACAAGATGAGATATTTCAGTCCGAGCCAAAGTGGTGGACTGACAACAGGCCGATGTTGCCATCTCTAGAGCCCTGCTGCAAGCAATCAAGGAATTTCTTATCAGCTCATTTGCACAACATAGGACCTGTCTACATTTGTATGGGCAGTGTTTTATTGGTGTAGACACACAAATGTACAGAGACAGAGCTCAAGAAGTGCAGAGGACTGTAGCAGTTGTCTGACAGGTGCTCTGTCATAGCAGGTTTGTAATGTAAAAAGGACATGCTCTATCTTCTGGTGATGAAGTCTCTTAATGAGCCTTGAGTGTCAACCGTACCATCAACAATAGTGTGTGTGTGTGTGTGTGTGTGTGTGTGTGTGTGTGTGTGTGTGTGTGTGTGTGTGTGTGTGTGTGTGTGTGTGTGTGTTAACCCATGCAGACAAGCTTGTGTGCAATTCTCTGCAGATATTAGTACGAGTGTCAGATGATGTCAACATGAGACCGGCACAAATTGTCAGGCTGGCTGAACTAGCATGACCAATTTCACTCTCGTACAGTGTGTGTGTGTGTGTGTGTGTGTGTGTGTGTGTGTGTGTGTGTGTGTGTGTGTGTGTGTGTGTGTGTATTCCTGCACCTCTTCCCTCTCCTCATCTTTTAGAGAACCCATTTTGAGTTTCAGACCTTCACAGTGAGCCCACGTTTTGCAAAGTCAAGTCTTTGTGATCACTTGTTTTGTGACCAACTTATTGCACATCAAAAAATGGAGGGAAATGTTTTGTGGTCCGTTCTCTCGACAAGGTGAGGTCTTGTATATTTTGAAATGTATATGATCAGCAGAGTGTCCTCATGTTAAAGATATAAATACAAAGATAAGTGTGTATGTAGTGTTGATATATTTTCATGTTTTTTTCTCTGTCTATCTGAGCTGTATGAGCAAGCACATTTGTCTGCATATCATAACGTATGTGCAGTGTGTGTGTGTGTGTGTGTGTGTGTGTATGTGTATGTACCCACCCACCCACATGAAAGAACATCCCCCTACCCTTCACACAGCCTTGAATTATTCATGTTCCGACTGGCTGCTTCCCTCTGTAAGTTTGCTTATGCAAGAGAGCCCAGTGACACATATGGAAGCTGTACACAGATGCACTGCAGTGATGCACAGTGGCGGTCCGTGATGCCCACGTTAGTATTTTAGTAACTAGTGATGGAGAATCTACATCTGAGCTGTGCTCTGCTTTATCCGTTTTGACATTTTGTGTTTTTACTAATTTGGGTATTTTTTATCCCTGTTAGCTGATACAGAGGTTGTTCTTGTACATACACCACAATAACAACGATAGTCTTTCTTATATCAGAGTGAAATATCCATCTTTGGAAATAAAGTCACTGCTCCCAGTACAAATGGTTATAATTAAGACTGTTGATAATATAATGCAACTTACACTAGCTGGATTCTTTTCTATTTTACATGCCCCTAAGTCAAATATAACCCATCTACCCATCATTCAAAACACTTCTGTACAAATTTCAGAGATTATCTCAAAAGGTGACTGACAATTATCTGAGTGCCAAACAGAATAAGAGCTGGCGTACAGCTGGAGAAACTAGCAGTGAAGAGTGCACAGCTGTGCTTCTGTCATTAGCATTTCTGCAAACCAGTAATTTGATTGCAAGGACTGTTTGAACTTTTCGCTTTGTTGTTGAAATCGCTGATTGTTGCCTCTTACCGTCTACTTAAAAATTACTTCTCAACAGGGCAATCAAATGTAGACACAAAAGAACAAGAAAACAGTCTGAGTGTGTTTATTTGTGTTTCAGAGTGCCCTTCAGAGTTCCCCATGGGGCCTGATGCAGGCGCTGGAACAGCAGGTGGGAGAGCTGAGGATCGACACCGACGATGACTGCTATGATGGAGCTCAAGGAGACACGGGCAACAGTCAGCCAAGTTCTGGTACGTCCATAGTATTAAACCTTTTCTTTGATCTCAGCTCTGACATGCATGCAGTTAAGAGTTTTCTAAATGTGCAGATCTTAATTTTCTTTTGTTTCTTTCGTTTATTCTTTCTATGGAGCCAGTGAGCAGATAACAGATATTTGCTCTATACATACAAACTCATATTTTTGACTTTGCTTTTTGACATATCCTATAATGAGTTTGTAATTTATTTCTGCTCTTATTGTTCATTCATGCTCCAGTTGCTTGTAATTTTGTTTTGTGACCTATTTGAGAAATACGGTGAGACACTGCCTGCATCCAGCAGCATATTATTAGAGAACTGGAATGATCACTGAGCTATGACAAATGAGATAGTCATCTCCTCTTCCTCTATAATCGTATTTCCTAGGTTTCTATGAGTTGAGTGAGGGTCACTCGCCAAAAGCAAGATCTTGTTCCACTGAGCCTGCAGAAACACTCTCTTCCTGGGCTTCCACCAACGACAGGCCAAAGTCTGTGGGTAAGAAAAAGTAGAGGTACACTTCCATTTCTCACACACATTCATCCTCAGAAGTAGCAACATACACAAAAACATTCTTGTTCTATGTGTGAGTGAAAAATCACTAATTTAACATTATAACACATTATAAGCTATCTGAATCAGAGATTATATTCTTTTCCTTTTTCAAAAATTAAAATCAAAAGAGGACAGATTTGTTATTCTTCTCTGGGATCTATTGTCTTGCCACTAACCCATAGACATTAAAAAACAGAGATGCACACTTTTTTTAAAAGATTTGCTTTGAAGCATGGAGTAATTTTTGTCTCGCTGCTACTATATTGGTAGTTCAAAGCCCAAATTGTTTTATAAGTGTTAATATTCCGTTAAATGAAAACATTTGTTTAAAGCAGCACCAATACATACAGTAGAAGTGAAATTAAGATTTAAGATTTAGATGCGCCAATACTGATAATAACCATCTCTTTAACAAGTTTTCTTGTCCATTACTTTGCTATTTAAGGACACTACATCATGGATTATTACTTAGATTTAGGTTTTTTCTTTGTTTGCAGTATTTTAATAATGCCTGTAACAGTATTGTTTGCTATTACTAGGTGACCCCCTCATGCTGAATGGAGAACTGGATGTGCCATGCCTACGCACCACCCTGCCTCGCTCTTTCTCTGCCCCTTACCCACCTCTGGAGGGCATTGCTGAAGAGGGTATAGCAGTGGACTCCTGGCAATGGGACCCCAATGGAGCCAACCAAGCCTGGCAGCAGCAGGCAGAGGATCTGATCACTGAGGAGGACTACCAGCAGGCCTTGAGGGTAGAAGGTTACATCCTAAGTCTCATCCAGCGCCACAACCTCCCACCCCGGCCGTGTCAGCCTCGCACAACCCTGAGCCCCGACCCCCCGTACTGCAGTGCCTCTGGACACAGCTCCCTACACAGGAGAACTCATTCTCTGACCACAGAGCAGCGCCATCCTGACCCCCATCTCCAGCCCCACGTTGACCTTTCAGCAAACCCTAAGAGCCAGGGCTGGGGTTGTGACCTGCTGGAAGGGGAGGCCTGTGGAGGAGAGGCCCCATCTTTGGAAGAGGACTGTTATCTGGCTCTGCCCTACCCCCAACCCAGGCCACACTCTCTGGCAGAGAGGCTACCATCACCTCTGCCCTCCCTGGACCCTAACTGTGGTGTTGGGGCTCTTGACCTTTGTTGTGAACCCCCATCCCCCCAGCATTACTTACATCCACAACCCCCTATTCATCACAAACACAATTTAGTAAGTGCTCAGTATATCCCTGGACAAGGCTGCCATGCCCCTGTGCGCTCCCCGAGACACTACAACCCGGAGCAGCCTAAGCCCAACCGAGCTATCTCTTCTCCTGACCACCCGAACTCCAAGCCCAGAACCTCTAAGAAGAGCCACAACGAGCGTCAGAAAGCCAAGAAATCAAGCAGTAAAACCAGTCGGTCCCAGTCTGAAAACAGCCTCCTGGGCCAGCGAGTATTGCCAGAGCGCAGGTACAGCACCACAGAGAGGCACCAAGGCAGAGGGGATCTTGCTCAGAACCAAGGCCAAGTCACTGGACCACAGGTGGCCAACAACAGCCACAATGGGAGCCGACGTTGGTGCTCCAACCTGGAGCTCAGCCAGGATGAAGGGGAACCCCTAACCGCGCAGGCACAGAGACGACCCCCCCGAAAAAATCGTCACGGTCATTCTTGTCCCCATTCCCAACCCCATAACTACCACCACCAACAGCACACCCAGCGCTGGCACCCAGACTTTCAGGAGAGAGCGCCTCTCTGTCAGGGAGAGGAAGGTTACGCTGGTGCCGCCCCCGCAGAGTCCGAGTCCAGCATGAGTGAGGTGTATTCCCCGGCCTCCAGCTCACTGTCCAGTGACTCAGATGAGAGTGGGGGGCTGGTGTGGCCACAGCAGCTGCCACCACGCCTTGCTTCTACCTCTTCCTCATCCTCACCTTCACCACAGGCCACTGCCAATGCTCCCTCTCAACCAAAAGCCTTTGTTAAGATCAAAGCCTCCCACGCTCTCAAAAAGAAGATCCTCAGATTCCGCTCAGGGTCCCTCAAAGTAATGACTACTGTATGAGGTAGTACTACCTGTAACCGTTACTACTGTGTTGTAAAGCCGTCGTCAGAGCAACATTGTGGCTGCTACTTTTGGTCATCTTATCTTAACTAGCCAATCCAGTCTTTATACTCAACCTACCTCTAATTACAGTATGTTCTTAGTAAGAGGAAATTACATTAATGGACATGATTAAAGATCTGCTGGATATCATCCGTCTGTAGTATCTGGTTTAATTTATCTTGTAGCTGACAACCATCAGACACTAGACTAATGGGCATTATCCTTTTCTAATTGGTGATAATTGATGTGATGCAAAGTTACACTGTTGACATGGACCACATTGAAGCTAAGTGACTGGATTTCCTGACAGTTTTTTCTTGATGTGTGTTGGTCTTATAGTTAATTAATCACAGATGTATGGTTAATTAATTCCTACAGTGTCGAGTTGGCCAAATCCAATTCCACACAGCGAATGGGTACACTGTCAAAAGTGAAGTCTTGCCAAACACCAAAGCTCTACAAATGAGACTAAAGCGATTTATGGCACTGACATTTCTAAGAAATGTTGCTGTATTTGATGGGTCCAAATACAATTTCCAAATCACTTCCCATGTTTCCAAGTTTCCTGGAAAGAACTATGTAATTTTCTACTAATCATGGGGAAAACAGGAATTTCTTTGAAAGAACAGCTCCATTTAAACCCAACTATTATTGGAAACTTCATGCTCAAACTTTCACATTTTGCATGGTTAGCTAAAGCCTTGCTAGGTTATGCTACCAATTAATTGGAATGAACTGGAGTGTACCATTTGAACGCTGGCTCTATTTTCCTACAAATCAGTACCAAATTACATAGTTCATTCCAGGAAACTTCTTGGAAATGATTTAGAAATGCTTAGGACATTATCTGGAAATTACAGACCCATAAAATAAAGCATTTCTAAAATGTTAGTGTGTGGTAAGACCTGAAGCTTTTAAGGATGGATTTGCCCTGCACTTAGCCAGCATCCTATAGAAAACTAATTTGTGCAGGAGCGAACAAACGTCTAATGGTACAAATCTATCTTTAGATTTGTTTTTCCTACAGTCTCTACATTCATGGGCTGATTGTGAATCTCTAAGCAGGGAAAGTCCCTTTATCTTTGTCGTCCAATACACTCAGCTCTGCCTCTTTGTAAACTGTGGATTCACACTGAAGTGAACCGTCCATTACCTCTCTTCTTCTGCCAGCTGCTTTAGGGACCAATGAGCATAAACAGATGTCTGTGAGTCAGGAATGGGTTTAGTAGAGGCCATAGTAAGGGACCAGTGTACATGCATGCATGCACATATATAATGTGTAAGTGCACGGATTCATTGAAACACAGGGACAGAGACTCAGACACTCTTGTAAATATGTATGTTTCTGTATATACCATCATGTGGCCTTGTTTGGAATGAATGTAGTCTGTAAATAAAGGCAATTTTGCTCTTAATTATGGTACAATAATTTTAACACATTTTAATTGTTTTGTTTATTCTTAAATTTTGTGGCGGTGGTACAACAAGACAATCTGTCTAAAACACCATAAATTAATATACATTAGTCATGCATTAGGCAAGTGTTCGACAATTATTATGAATTTACATTTCTTCTGTATTTGTCTGAATTGCATATATTTGAGAAATCTCCAAACATAGCCAAAGCTCATGTTACCTGTCCAATCTCCTCTCTAATCTATTGTCTTCAGGGTGCCTAACATTAAACCAAAGGGTCTCTGACTAGGAGCTCACCATGTACATGCTCATGGGCCATCAGACATTAGAGTGTGGCTCCCTCATGTGGTCCATGCAGAGTACTATTACACAAGTTGTGTCTTTTTGTAACCACTATGGGAATGCTACTGGTACATGCGGTAATCAGATATAAGTTACAATAACTGTTATATAAAATAATAGAAATTTCTTCAAACTTGAGCTGCAGCACACACACACACACACACACACACATAGGTAATACAGAAATAAGACAATTTGTACATTTGCATCTGTAACAGAAACACGGTCTGAGGTCATTCACATGCATGGCCTCAAAAACAGAAGTGTTGATCATTTTGTTGTATGCAACACAGATGGTAAAAGGAAATACTGCAGATTGGCTAATAGTTCCTGGATTGCAAACCTGAGTCAGTCTTGATAACACCACCCAACTGCCTCAGCAGAAAGAAAAGATCATTGTGTGTTCACACTTTAAAAGCTAAAATGTGTTTTTCAGACTGACATTATTTGACCATGTGTCAACGATTGATTTTAAACATTGATTCCAGTTTATGGTGAACCCCAGTGGTTATAAAGTCCATGTTCAGAGCAGTAAGTGAGCTCACGCCCTATATAAACTAAATCAACGTGTGGGAAACCTCAGCCATAAGTGGCTTTTGGAAATAACAACACTTCTATAATAACATCAAAGTGCACACACCCTCAGACTTTAGCAGTCTCGTTGCTGGTGCTCTTGGTGTCGTTATTAGTGATGCTCACTCTGGTCATGGGATCCTCGCTGATGAAGTGGAGCACGTTGCGCAGGGAGCGGCTCATGCTGTCTTTGAATCCCCGGCCCAGGCACACATAGAGCAGCGGGTTAAGGCAGCTGTTGAAGTATGCCAGGCAGAGCGTTAAAACTTGCGCCAGGTAGACACTGGGGCTGTGGTGCGAGTTTCTAGGGGTTACCAAGTTGAGAAAGTCCACAATGTGAAGTGGGAGCCAGCACAGGAAGAAGCTCAGCACCACACCGATGATGACCCTCAGGGTGCGCTTGGAGCGGGGCCGACCGCGTGAGAGTCCGCTCTCTGCTCTCCGGTACACCACCAAGTGACAGACGACGATCACCAGGAACGGGAGGAAGAATCCCACCAGGAAGCGGTAGGAGGTGACGACCCAGGCGCTGCGCAGAGAGAACACTGTCACGCACTCTCGCTTGTGGTCACCTGCTGTGATCTCCTTGGTGTAGACGAACTGAGGGATGCTGCCTATCAGGGCCAGGCACCAGATGGCAACGCACACGCAAGCAGCCTTCTTAGGTCGCCTGTTGTTCTGACACCAGACGGGTCTGCTGACCAGCATCCAGCGATCCACACTGATCAGAACCAGCTGCAGAATACTGCAGTACATCACCAGGTAAAACAGGCTTTTGACCAGGGTGCAAGCCAGCGGGCCAAAGCGCCAGTGGTCGTCGTGCGCTATGGGGTCCATGAGCAGAGGGATGGAGAGGCAGCACAGAAGGTCTGCCAGGGCGAGGTTGAGGAACCAGAGGGAAGTGACAGAGCGGGGCATGCAGAACCCGGTCACCCACACCACCACAGCGTTTCCAGGGACACCCAGCAGGACCACAAGGCCGTAGAAGACCAGAGCCACTATCTGGATCGGTTGAATCTCAGGGGGGCCCGTAATGTCAGGAAAAGTGAAATTATAGTCAGTCGTGTTATAGTCGATGAAGGGGTCATCGTTATAATCCATGATTTCTTCCATTCCTGCTTGAAGGTGTACATGGGAAACATTTATGGTTATAAACCTTTATCATAGGAGACAATTTTATCATGTAAAACAAATATGAACTTTCACAATTGTTGTGTGTGATACAAAAACAAGTCCTTAAACCAGCCCAGCACAGTCCTAACATGATGAAATGGAAGCTGATTTAACTTCAAGTAGGCTATCTTACAAATATATAAAATCTAGTTACAAAACACATTTAAAACTTAAAAATTGATTTAGCAGATATTCAGACTTACGTTTTCAGTGATCGGTGAGTGTTGCACCCACTCTGCTACTAGGAAGTTATGGCGCTGTTCTGCTTTTAAGTGTGTGTGTGTGTGTGTTTTATACCCCCCCTCACACGCAGTTGCACAAGCCTATTTCCAAAAAAACCCCATATGAATTAAGACTTCTCATCTTCCTTGAAAAATGTTTTAATTCAAACAAGAAATGTAGCAGATTTATTCACTAGATGAAAACAATATTGCTGAAATTGAATTACTCTTATATTGCTTATACAGTATAATGCAATTTGCCTGGTTGATTTTACAATATAAACTGTATTTACCAGTACAAAGGCAGTGGTGTAACACACTATGCCTCAACCAAAGAGACATATGCATTTTTCAAAAAGACAGTAGCCTATATGTAAAATAATGTGTACAAAAGACATGTATCAGGCAATAAACCTTCATAAAAATGTTGCTGTTGCTTATATGAAGTGTATTTTTATTTAATGTGATTTATTGACTAGGGACCCACCTGTAAGTCTGTAATATTCACTGCTCAGTTTCTGCTTGTTTACTTTGAATTGAACTCCAGGCGATAACCTCTGTTTTATCCTCCCTTAATAAAAAAATGAAGAACTTGATACTGAACTTGGTAAATACCACTTGCTGTTGCCATTGTTAATGATACTTGGTCTTGTACACTGTGATACTCCACAACATTTTGTCTAAATTGAACATTATCCTTTTATTTTTGTCTTTTTATGCTTAATTTATATACTTTGGTATTATAGTTATATATACAGATCTATTTTTGTACTTCTGCTGCTGGAATAAAGAATGCTGATCTCTTGAACATGCTGTTGAAGAAGTTTTCACTTCCGCATAAAACATCAGCACAAACACTGGCCCCCTTTGAGAGTTATCAATATAATTTACACATTTTGTATAAGATTACTGATTGAAGAACAAGTATGGTATAAGAAGTAGATTTACATTTCATAAATGTAAAATAACTAAAAATTAAAAAAAGTAATATAAACCCACCCAAAATGATTTCCCATATTAGTGGGACAAAATACTTTATTTTCAAATTCAGAATAATTTTTACAGTAACACCAAAACTTTTTCCATATATACAAGTTATTCAAAAATCAGTCTACACACAAATTAGAGTGTTACTACACAACTACAGTTCTCGATGTCGTCTACAACTGAAAATTAGCTAGAGCTGCCCTCCTTTGTTTTGGTTCTACATGCATGACAGACACACTGAATGTCCAATCCTGTCCAACAAAAAGAAAGAAAATTGCCTCTGATCAGTGGATTTTTTATAACCTTGTGGAAAACTATGATTTAAAGACCACAACATTAGTCACTTGCATACGGAGACATCAGATTTGTGATGTCTCATTGTGGTGACATTCCCTAAATTTAGATCATATTGCATAATTGCTGGATGTGCTTAGCAAAACAGAAAGTCGACGAAGAGAACAGCCAACAGATTTTAAAGAGTTTTAATAAATACTGTTCATACTGAAGGTATAACCAGGTAAATGTCCCCAAATGGCTCCTGTGGGGTCACAGTGATGATCTATGAGAAACATGTTTTATAAGGTACAGGTTGTTATCTGTATCAGAGACAGAGTTGATGTGTAGAAAGTGAACAAAGCACAAACAAAAGATAACTCGTTGCCATGGCAGGATGTCGTCTTTTAGCCATGTGACATCACCAAGCCCTTAATAATTAGGAAATAAGGGAATTGAAACACAAAGTCACAACGTCAGCAAAAGTTTCCCATGAAGTTAAAAAAATAGCAAAGATACAACGTTGCTCAAATCTCTGTCACAAACGTCAGCGGGCTGAGTCTTATGTGTTTTCTGTGAATGTGTGTTTGAGTATTTGTACCCGTTGCTGGTTCCCACTGTGTACATGTGTATTTGTATATGACTCATCTGGTACCCGTTGATATAAATGTGGACATAAATGTCACAGTTGGCGTGAAGCTGTTTATCAGTTCTCGAGATCATAAACACATTTTGATGCTTGTTTTCTGCTCTTCATCAACCTCGTCTTACAGTTGGCACTTTGCCTCATCTGTTGTTGCCATAGTTGCCAAACTTAATGCCAGGATGTTTCCTCACAGGGTCATCAGAGTTCTCAGAGATTAAGTCAGTTGAGGGCCGGAGCACTGCTCGGTGGAAGCGTGGGGGTGTCGTCTCTAAATGCATCTGACTGGAGGTCTGCAGAAAGAAAAGGACACTGTATTATGTTGTATTTTTCAAACATTTAGTGTCAAACTTTTGGCTCTTAGTGTAATGTGACATTTAAATAATGTGAAAATAATGTGTTAAAACAGAACTTAACACATATAAGTGAATGAGTGAATTTGGACACATTTTAGACTAAGTGACAGGCTTAAGGTCGATGAAAACAGACAATCCCCCCGTGAATATTTCTCTAGAACTGCCCCTGATATAAGACAACAAAGAAATGTTGTTAGACTCTTGGAGAATAGTCGAGAGAAATTGTGCAAGGTGTTCAGAATACAACACTAAGCACTACTATTTCCCATGCAACCTAAGAATGAAATACATACATACATATTGCTAACATTTTTTTGGGCTGTTGTAGCTTGAGTATTATGTATGTCTACTTTTGTTGACAATTCTTAAGGGTGATTATGATATCAAGGTGCTTTAGGTTGTTGTGTTAGGGTGTTGCTGTTTTCCTGTGGATATTTAGCCACTACAGCAATACAGTATAATTATAATGTATAATATGATATAATAAGACACGCTTTCCCACCCAAAACTTGAGAAACGAGGAACCATGGAACTGCTGACTCTGAGTATCAGTTATACTGTACAATTCATTCTGTTTGTGGTAGCGATGCAATGTGAGTTTCTTGGCTCATGCACACATTTTCGCACCAAAAATTGGAGAAGCAATGTGACACAGAAATGCTGACTCTGTGTGATAATCCACTGTAGCTGTTGTTGAGTTGTTTGCCCATTGAAAATGAATATTTTCTTATAATAGGGTAGAAAACAAAAAGTAAGTGGTTATAGGTCTGTTACAGCAGCTGGAGTTCTTCTGAAGACATGGGCCTTTGAAAGTTAACATGTTCTACCAAACTAAAGGCATCCAAGAAGATCCAAGAGGCAATTTAAAGCAGATGAGAGTATGATAACATGTCCAGCTCACCGATGAGTGTCAAGCCTTGCTGTTGGTTCAGTATAACCGACGTCTCCTCTTCCTCCTCCTCTTCTCCCCAGTCTGCAATGTTGGCTGGGGGGATGCACTGCTCCAAGAACAGGTCCTCCTCGTCTTCCTCCATGTCCATGTTCTCTGGCGGCCAGCGAAGCTCTCCGCTTTCCACCTCGCTCAACTCCGTGGGTTCCACAACGATGGAGGGTAGACGCTCCTTCTCGCGGTTGTGGTCCAGGCTGTTTAAGTCGGTCTCTGGGCCCAGGACAACCTCAACAGGGTCAGGGAAGATCTGAAGGAAAGGAGGGGCAGCTGACTGAGAATTCAGCAGAAGAGTCACACAGAAAAGAAGTTTAGTTTACAGCAAAATACTTCAGTGTTAGCAGAACCTGTAAATATTAAATTGTTTGAAATTAGTTATATTGTCCAGTTCTGACAGATGTCAATACATCTAATCTTACAGATTTCCCTCACTCCCTCTCTCCCTCTCATGGTTTTTGAAATTTTTAGCAATTGTGTCTAGTATTTTGTAACAACCTTGTTTTAATATAACACGTAACAATATAAAATATAACAAATAGTAACATGAAATTGAGATTTTATCTTAAACTCACTACTAACTGGATCCGGTTGCAACATTATAATTACTACAAGTCTGGTCACAGTATGATGATGGAAAATACCTGGAATGGCAATCTTTGGTCCTTCCTTTGCATGTCTTCACAGTTTTGATCTTGACCACTCATCTCCTCCATCTCTCTGCAGAGTAAATAAAGCCATAATGAGACTAGAAACAAACATAAACTGTAAAGACAAGGGCCTTATTTCCCCTTTGCAAATCTGAAGCCTGTGAGAAATCCCTTTTGGGTATTTTAATCCTCTTTTTCTATGTGTAGAAACCCTTTTAATACTGTACTGAACCCCAAGAATCCCAATAGAGCAAGTTTTGTAGAACTCTAGTATTACATTGGACCTTGAATTTTCACAACTACTTTAATTATATTAATTATTAAATTTAATAATTAGTTTGACTCTAGAATACTTTAGAACCCTCCTTAAAATCAAAAACTCCCATGGTTGGCTTATCCCTGTAGAAGCTCTGCACAAACTTATAGAAACCCTGTTCAGAAAGAAATACATTTTACTGCAGCAGTAGAAACTCCAATCCATTTAAAAGGAGGGGTCTTTGGTTTAGAAACAAAGCCACTCCATGAAAGATCTCACTCCAGTGATTCTCTTTAAACTCTCTCTAAATGATCATTTGAACATCTTCTACATCAATATACTATTTGCACATATGTGTATCTTTGAATGTTAGATGGATAGTGTTTGCTATGAGGAACTATCCACTGACTGCTTACATGACCTTGTTACTTTCATTCTTACATGTTTATCTGTCTCATTCAGTGGCACTGGATAAAATCACTTCATCCGGTTTCCTATTAAATAACATCACTCCCCCCCTCCGTCATGCCCCAGTGTCATGGCTGAATTACACTAGTATATTGGTGTCCAGCATCCCAGGCTTTTGATAGGTCAGAGATTTTGTGTCCTACATCTGATTTGCTAAAGCTGGTCAGACTATGTGAATTATGTGACTATGTGTGAGTGTGTGATTCTCCTCACACACACACACACACACACACACACACACACTGAACAAACACTCTCAGATTAGTGTAGTACTCAGCAGGGTTTTATACCGAAATGGATTATGACCTCTGATGCTCATATTTTATTTTCTGACAGGCAGCATGTCAGAACATATGTGCTGTTTTTGTTCTGTCAGTGCTTACAAAAGGCTGGGAGCCTCAGAAGCAGGTGCCTTTATGCCTGTTTTCTATTAGCCAATCCCTGATCCTGTGAGTGTATGTTGGGTCCATAGTGTCTGTAAACTAGTCACTTGTTTTAGTTACATGCATGAGTCTGTGTCCACATCCAACGTCAATCTGTTTATGGTCTCCAGAAAAGCCGACGGGGGATTAAGACTGGCTGAGGATCTGTCCGAATCCTCTTTTTATCCCTCTCTCCTGCTCCCTCTCTCCTTTTCTCACTGCGCCTCAGTGTATGTCCTCTCTCCATAAGTACCAATCATGGTTTGTTGTCATTCAGCAGGGTGGTGTAATGACACAATCTGTTCAATCTTGCTTACTCTTTAATGAAATTTCAGCTGAAAGACAGATCTAATCTCCGACCTTCCGTTTTTAGACCTTGTGTTGGGTATTTTTTGGTATTTGCTAACAGCAGCACCAGTCTCATGTTGCATCAAACGAAGGAGATAAATCTAACTTATGAAGTCTTTGGAAATGAGATATTTGAACTAAATGTTGAAAACATGATGGAAGAGCCATAAGTGATATAAACACTGAGTAAAAAGAAATGGTGCAAATTTGCTTTCTCTTTTAACGAATTTAACTGAGCAAATCTCACAGTTGCTCAGAGGACATCTTACCATTTTGCTCTTAAGTTATAAGAAATGACTGTTTGTAAAAGTATATGCTTCACAACCGAATATAGAAATATAATGTATTTCCAGGTTCAAACTGTATCTTTTTGTAAATTAATGTCATACATGAGATATATCATATCATCTCTTCAGTCGACCACTTTGGTCCAAACTGAAGTATCCATTAAATTTTTTTACATTGACGGTAATGTATGTATTCCAGTATGTAATGTCTCCTAATAACTTTACTTAACTTTAATAACTAATGACATTCCCATCATCCTCAGCTGTACTTTGTGTACAGTGCGAATTAGCAAATGTTAGCATGCTAACACACTAAACCAAGATGGTGAACGTGGTGAACTTTACACTCGGTAAAAGAAAGCATGTTAGCATGCCGAAGTTAGCATTTAGCTCAAAGTGCAGACTCACAAAGCTGCTAGCTTGGTTGTAGACTTTTAGTCTTGTTCTAAGATATACAGTAGCCTACTTTTATAGTCAGTTCTTTATTTTGGTTATATGCTAATACACACTTGTGTCTGCCGTAACAGAGGCCGTCTAAAAGCCGATGTAAATGTCTGCTCTGAGATTGGCAGTTTGTCGAGCATTGAATAGCAGTCGAGGAGTGCCAATTGACAGTATTTTGAAGGTCTCGGTTCAGGCCCTCAGTGACTGTGAAGTGTTCAGATTACCAGCTGCAAACATTAAAAAAGTGTCTTAAATATGGTTTTAAAATAATAATGGCTTATGTCTGACACCAACAGAGTTTTTCATTGCATTTAGACACAGGATGAATTTATAGTTTCACAACTGATGATTTCCGAAGTTGCATCATTGTGTTTCTCTCTTCCTCCCTGTTTCCTCTCTCCCTCTCTCCCTCTCTCTCTCTCTCTCTCTCTCTCCTCTCTCTCCCTCCCTCCCCTCTCTCTCTCTCTCTCTCTCTCTCTCTCTCTCTCTATCTATTTCAGTCTCAGTCTATCTTAATTGAATTGAATAGCTCCAAATAGAATTGTTTTGAACTGATTTTATCAGATTTTTCCTTTCTGACTTCCTTAATGTCACAGATTTCAGGCTTATTGTTCCTATCAACACGCTTAAGTTCAGTGTATAATATGGCAAATGAAGAAACACTAAGCCAGTTTGCACAGCCGTCAAAACAAGGACACCCTGTTCTCGTCTAAATAGGATCAGCTTCGGGAGGATGCTGTCATTTTTGACCCACTTGTGAATGTGCACCGCCCTACAGTTCAATTTCTGATATTATGCTGCTGACAACTGTGTCACGTTAAGCTGTTTGTGTGCCACCTGGGATGGAAACTTCCTGCAGCTATTATGATGAAGAAGCTTAACCTCCATGTAATCCCTCTTGTATACACTCTCTCTAAACACCTGCAGGTTTCAGTTCCGTCAACAATCACTCTTTGTTTGTGCAGTGTACTGTATTTTGAATACCACATGTTCAAACGTACAGTATGACACTCTTCTATTTAAATTACACTGTTCACTACGCTTCACTATATTTACATTAATTAAATTACTATTTAAATTATTATTTTACTATTTGGGTTATTAATTCAAATAGTAAAATTTTATTAATTTATTTATTATTGGTCTTTTAAAAATGAAAGTAGTAAAGAAGCATTTCACATGATTCTGCTTATATAATCTATTCAAAAAGCCCTGAATTAATAAAATAAGGAATGTACTGCAGATTCATAGATTATTGAAGGATATAGAACTCAATGAAATGATAAAATAAATCAAAACAGTGCAATTAAACTGATACACAAGCCGCATGGGGAGATTTAAAAGGAGTTATTCCATCTCATTGGTATCACCATTTTGGATTAAAAAAAACAAGATTTCATATTTCTGAAATGATCAGATGATCTGTGAAATTCATATCAATCATGCATCTACATGTTAAAGGGAGTTCACACTTAACAGCTAGTGTCATCAGGAAGAGGAAACTGTGACAGGTTGGAAAGTGATGATATTTGTGTTGATAAACAAAAGTGTTTTTTTTTTTTTTTTTTTTTTTTTTTTTTTTGGTACTACTGCCAGAAAGCTGTTTTTGTGCAATGGAACTAAGAAAAAAAAAAACCAAGTGGTAAAGCATTTCTTGCTTATTATTAATGCACGTGTCTTGGCAGATCCCTATTGTCACCTCTTGCTTTACAGTTATTATAGTATCTCTTTTTCTCTCTTGTTCTTCCTCCCCCTTTACATAAAGGCCTCTACATTTTTTTTTATCCCCTTCCAATTTAAATTCATTTAATTTCTTTTTTTTTTTTGTGTTTTTTTTCCCCCTTTTTTTGCCCCTTAGGCTGTTTTCATTCTGTCTGTGACACATAAAACACACACATAAATGCACTGACCCATATGACCATATATGTCTATGAGCCTGTGCCAGAGTTGGTTTCTGTAAATAACTGAATCTGTAATATATATTTCATAAAAAGTCTATTTCTGTTTCAGTCCATGCATGCAGTCTCCTTACCGTGCATAGGTCAAATGAGGATTTAACAGTCTAAACCTTTTGTAGGACATTCCAGTATTCATTCATTATCTTGTTAGTACTATTGATAGAAACAAGCTCCAGAGCAGCTACTTTTAATTCATTTTTAAGTTGACATAGATTTTTAAAAAAGTCCCTAAAGTATTCAGAAGAAATGTGAGCATCTACACTTTCATCACAACTGGTTTTCTCAACTATATTTTTTCACATTGATAGGGACTCTCATGTGTGTCAATTCCACACACCATGAACATTCACAGGATATACTATCTACATCTACAGTGTGAACTTTTGGTGTCAGATTAGGAGCATGCAGAGGATGTGAGGGGAAACTATGCATGATAACAACCCCCCACTGTTTTTGTTAGTGTGAATGATATTTGTAACTGAAATACACACACACACATAAACTCCAGCAGCCTCTTACCCCTCGCATGCATTCAAGCAAATGTCTTCTCCATCTTGGCACAACTCCACAGTGGTGAAGCCCGGCTCCTCTGCAGTGAGTACAGATGACACGAGAGGGGGTGCAGCAGGAGGTGAGCAGCTCCTGCAGCATTCCCCCTCCGCAGAGCCCTCAGCGAGGCTTTTGGCCTCCAGGGCGAAGCCTGGATGGGGGGTTCCCAAGCCCTCAGGTGTCCAGTGATTTTAGATCAGGAGGTGGATGTGTGCCTGGTTTTCTCTGTCAGTTAGGACAGCAACCTGTCTCACTTGTCCAAATCAGAGCTGAGTCTGTCTGCTGCCCCAAAGCTGGTCCCGTGTCTCCCGTATCCGACTTCCTTCCTCATGTCTCTCTCAATATCCCTCCCTGTCCCACCCCACCCCACTGCCAGGCTTTGGAGAGGAGCAGGATTAGCGTCTCTTTCGATTACAGAGGCTGGATGGGTGACGTCAGCCAGGCTTGACTGTCCCCTCTGATGAGTTGGCACACTGGGTTGCTGTTGCATCTGTAATAAAACATATAAAGGGCACACAGATGGCACATGTTGATGGCAGTTAAATTGACTCGGGAGAAGCATAGCTGCTCATAAAGCGGACAAGGAGACATTTTTCATGTTTTGATATGAGCTCTTTTCTGTCTTCCCCATCCATTCTGTTTGTGGCCATGCCTCCCTCTGCCTGGTCCCAACTGTGTGTGCCTTTGCTCCATCAGTGGATTTAGATTTGGAGATTCATGGAATTAGCCCAGGGATCAAGGGCTCAGGGGTGGGGAGGGGATGGATATGTACATAACAGGCTCCAACTATTGCTAAACGGACAGGGCGCTGCTAACAGCAGTGAGTAATCCCCTCTGTAGGCTAAGTCAGTAGGCTATATATGGAATGAAGTAGTGAAGGAGCTAGTGCAACATGAAGGGCGTCCTGCTTCTGCAGAACTTCTGTTATGCCGGTTTAACCATGCCACTACCTCATTCACACTTTAAGTCTTTCTATTTGCATTATATTAAACTGATATTACACATATAGTATATATTAGTTGTATATAGTTCTTGTTATTATAATTAAGTTTTCCTTTTGTATTTTTTCTTTTATATAATTTATTAAATTTTTTACATATTTTTATGTTGTATGCTATTTTTATTTTCATGTCAGAATCTGTTTATACACTTCAGCTTTTATCTATTCATTCAGAAAGTTCATTTAAGCCTTTTTATGTTCTACATCTTCCATACAATATGAGCTTTATTCAACGTTTAAATACCATTCACACATATAATTAGGCCCTTTCCCACTTATTCAGTTCTTCATCCTTCGGCTGTTTCTTCATACAAATTAAGGGCAGCAATTCAATTTAACATCAACTTTTCAACATCCTGCATTCACACCGCAGTTTCTTCAGAAATTGCATTTGAGGATTCCTCCAAGAGGAAATATAACAATTTATTCATACATACAATTTATTTTGAGTTAAACATAATTCATTTGAAAAGCAGATTTCAGTTTGATGTTATCACAGTTATTATAGTATTTAATTTATAGTAGTTGGGAATGCATATGAACACTATGCAACTAGTGAGAGGAAGAGGACTAGGTAATACAGATGTGTGCGGTTTATTGGTTCGTCGATCTGTTGTTAATGCCTCGGGCCTGCAGTAGGGGGATCGCGCTCCTCTTCCTCATTCAATACAGACGAGTGAAGGAAAGAGCTGCGTGTGTCTTTTCCACATCCTTCTCCCGTTACTATTCCCCTTTTTAAGGGCACAACAGTTTAACTATTATTCTTACTCGTAACCTGCATCACAGTTCTGTAGATTGCAATGCTGCAAATCAGTAATCTCACAGCTTTATGATTTTTTTGACAGAGAACCAGCAATACCTGTTTTAAATGACACCTTGCCAAGAACATTTAGAAACATTTGTTGTTGTTATCAGAGTTAAAAATGTCAAAAAATCATTAAGATTAATATTAATGATCAAAAATTTGCTTTAAATGTATTTGAATGAGTATAAATCATGGTCAATATATCTAGGCATTAACAAACACAGAGATCATGAAAAAGTCAGCCACATGAAATTGAATATTCTGAATACCAGGACTAAACTCTTTGAAAACAGGAAGTATTTAATTACAGACAAGCAACTCTGTCATTACTGAATTAACAAAAATTCAAATAATGAGGCTCAGCTGTTCAGTACTAGTACAGACCGATCTGTGGCCTATGTATCTTCTATGTATCTGTGTATCTTCTGTTGTCAGTTTCCCACCACTGTCACTTTGAGCTGTGTGTGAGATAGTTTGCTGTGTGCGTGCTGTCATTCTGTGGTCTGTTCAGTTTTGCACTAATGCCACTTCTTCTTCATCAAAGCCAAAAATGCTTCAATGTCCTGTTTTACTCTATGATTATACTAATATTATAGCTTATTTGGTGTAACCTTTTAACATGTTGAATCTGCAGGTGACAGAAATACAGCCTCACATGCGTTTCAGGTGCGGACCTCCTTGTTGTAAAGATTTGTTCTATTTTTATCAGAATTTACCATAAAATCTGATCAAAAGGATCTGGAAATACCCTTCAGACATTGACTTGTGGTACTGAAATTGATATGTTTGATCACATCAAAGTAATTTTGATCGAGAGGAATATTTCCTTTCAATGCATTGTCGAGGAAGTATCTACACATGTCCACACCATGTGCTTATAGTTTACAGAGTAACATAAAGAATAAATAATAAATTCAAGTATTGGTTTTCCTTTATTTTCACAGTCTGAAAAGTGTCAACAAAAATCCAAAATAGTGAATTTCACACACACAAGAAAAGTAAGCACCAACAGCCTGATATCATTTGTAAATTGCCCCCTTTTTTTTTTTTTTTTTTTTTTTTTTTTTACATGTAACCCATCCAGTTCTGCAAGTGTCCCTGTTTCTTCCACTAGAAGTAGCTGATTGACAAGAACCTACATTGAGTCTCTCCCCTGTCATTTAAATGCTACAAAAACTTTCAGGTTGAATGAACTGGTTTTTCCTGCAAACCAAAAAACAACTTCAGCATTCTCCTGCAAGGCAGCAACAGGTAAGAGGCTCTTTGTTCCTAAGTTAGATTTGCTAAAATTAGCAGAAAAAGAAAACAAAAAGAAACCACATTTAAAAGGATGTGCAAATAATTCTTATAGAATATTAGTATGCACTTGTTTTGCATTGTTCTGAGAAATGCAGTGAAAGAGAACCACTCAGTGATTTATGCGGTAAACCGGATGAGTTGCATGTGACAATGTACTTTTTTCTTACAAGTCTACAAAAACATGTGGTTTGACAGTTAAATTACTTACACCATGCTGTAACCACCACGATATTGTACTTTTTTTTTTTTTTACAGACTTGCACCTTTTTTGTTTTAGTCATAACTTTAGTTATGGCTTATGAACCAGGTCGGGGAGACAACCTTCCTCCATCAGGTAAAAACAAACCCACATTATTATGTCATTACTATCTGCCAACATTTCATAAACCCACTTTTTAAATTAGATAGAGTCCGACAAACTGTCTATTATGAAAATAGTCAACAGGTCCCTAGAAAGGCAGTGCCACCCCCTGCTGGGAGCTTTGACACTAATTTTTCCATGGCATTTATATTTCCAACACAAAATCAGAACTATATCAAATGTAATGTAAAATGTGTCAATGAGTGTAAATGTGACCACTCTTGGTTCAAAAAGAAGGAATAGCTGGAGAGAGGGTGTGGCATTTTTTTCTCTTAAGGGAGGGTCCAAAAAATATTAATGATACTGGAGAAAGCCTTTGTTTTTTAAAGTGAAACATGTCCAGCTCCCCTACCGACTCATTTCGGTTCAATTTCATACAGTCCCTAACTGATTTTGTCACAGCTGGAAACAACATTTGCCCTCATATGCTTCACAAAAAAATGATTCAGTGGGGTTTTGTTGCATGTAACATTGTAAAGTCCTTGCTCTAATTGTCATGATGTCTCCCACTCTAGGCACTGTAGCCTTCACAGCCAAGCTGAATATAGATGACAGCTACCCCTGTCACTCTGGAGTCCTGAAGTTTGCCACTGTGCTGGTCAATGAGGGAGGAGGCTACAATCCTGAAACAGGCACCTTCACCTGCCCCACGGATGGCTTTTATCACTTCACTGTGCATGTGTCTGTGTATGGGCGTGGGCAGTGTGCTATTTTCAAGAATGGAGAGAAAGTGGTGTCTCTGTATCAAACCTCTCTGCCTGATAAATGTAGCCAAGTGGTCACTACTAGCAGTGTGATCAAACTGTCTAAAAATGACAGGGTCTGGGTGAATATCTGGGGGCCTGGCAGAAACGATATCTTTGCAACTGTAGATAATGACACTGTCTTTGTTGGGGTTCGTTTGGGTTAACGGCGTAAGTGTCAAAATGTCACTAAAGTTCTTGGCTGTGCTTTTCTTTTCCCACAGTGAGCCACTACCACTTCAATGTATTCTTACTATTAAGTGAAGTTTGTTACAGGTAAAGTTAGAATGTACTTTTTCTGAAACGAACATGTTGCTTATATATCTCTGAACAACATTGTAATACTAACTGCTTTAATACAAATAAAATGAAGTACACTTCAGAGTTGTGTCTGTCCTCCCACACCTAGAGGCGCTGTCCAACAAATCACCACAAATTAAAAGAGTACACGCATGCGCAGATGATCTGTTTTCAAACGAGTGGGAGCATTAGCGGTAGAAGACGTGAAAGGAGCATCACGTTTATTATTTGTCAGGTTCAACTTCAACCAGTAGTTCAACCAGTGGTCTCCTAATGGATTTAGACACTGGAACATACGAACCGGGATTTGTAGGGATAAGGTTTTGTCAAGAATGGTGAGTTTGTGGTTGAGTTATAGCTCAGATAAACGTACCTAGCAGTTAGCTTGCTGGCTAACGTTTACATGTTAACCTAACGTCTTCATACAACGGGAAGTCTTATTTAGGACAAATAATAATAATAAAAATAAAAAAACTGACTTTGTCTTCCAGTAACAACATGTTATATCCTAAAGAAGACAAGGAGAACCGCATCCTGCTTTATGCGGTAAGTTTCTTGTTTGAACTTATTGTTACTATAAAGTTATAATCCTACAACAGCCTTACATAAAGGCAAGAGTAAATCTGTAAAGTTGTTATCCTACCTATGAGTCTCCCAGGCAGTGGTTGAGGGCTACGGGGTAACTTATTTGAAAATCAGAGATATTAGCCCAGTGTTTGAAACACCTGTAAAGTACGAACAAAAAAGACACAACTGTTAAAGTTACAATGTTTCCTGGTTAATGAAGTTGGCCCATGCATCAATTTGAGTCAATCAAGTAGTGTTTGTCTAGTGCAACCAGTGTAAATGACTGATCACTCCAAACATGCTGATGCATAGACCTATAATCAAGGTCAAACTTATGTCCTGTAATACGTTGTTGTTGATGATGTTGACCCCCACAGGGTGTAAACAAAGGTCTAAAGGGAAGGCAAGGTGTATACATGTCCATTGTATTCCTGTAATCATTTGCTGAATGTCCTGTCCACAGTGCAGGAACTGTGACTACCAACAAGAGGCAGACAACAGCTGTATCTATGTCAACAAGATCACCCATGAGGTTGAGTAAGTAGAAGAAACCAAACTGCCACATAAATGACCAAGACATTGATTAGCTTGAAAGTGAATATTTCACTGCTGTTAATACCCTAAAGAGCTTGTTGTTTTAACACCTGCAGTTGTTTTAACCTCTCACCTTGCTGTAGTGAAGTACAGGTGTACACAGGACCCTGTGACATCACAGTTGGGTGTGCTTACAGTTCAATTAGATTTTATTTATAAAGCGCCAAATCATAACAGAACATTTTCTCATATAGAGCGGGCCTAGACTGTACTCTTTAGAGTATTTAGGTTTAGGTTTCTCCTTAGGGTTTGTTCTGCTTGCTGTGCAACCACTGCACTGGTCACTGACAAATCAAGTTAAAAGCATTATCCAAACATTTTCAGGTGCACACTAATTTGCTCGAGTACATCCTGACAATTAATGGGATTTTCTGAAAGTCAGTAAAAGATAAACTCTTGAATTTTTTCTGCATATTCAGACTGTAGAAATTACTTCAGATATTTTTATTATTATTGTGTAAACGCATATTGAGCGACTACATAGAAGGCAAAATATTTGCAATTGTGCATTGATTGCAGTACTAAAACTATGTAATGTCTTCCTGCATCTTGCTTCTCTCTTTCTCCAGTGAGTTGACACAAATCATCGCTGATGTATCTCAGGATCCAACACTACCAAGGACAGAGGACCACCCCTGTCCTAAGTAAGTTTTACCATAAAAAAATCAACCTCACTCCCTCCCTTTGGAGACCGCTAACTGTTCTGTCTGTGTTGTTAAGCGTAATAAGTCTTCTGTTGTTTGTTTGGTGCAACATTCAGTATAGTACATGGCACAGAAAAAAGTTTTGGCAGACTTAAAGTCTGTATTAAATTATTTTGGACCAAAAGAGGGCAAAACATTATATCCAGAAACAGGTAGCATACAAACCATATAATGTGTTAAAGCTGCATACAGCTGCAGACTGGGTGTCAAATCTCAGTGTAATCAACAATTGTTGTACATTAAACAACAACCCCTTCACATATGAATAGGGAGTAAACTTAAAATTATTTTGTCATATTGTTGCCACTACACCTTTACTTCTTGTGAACGATAGGGTGTAAGGGTGTATTGGCAGGAATCTGATGATGGGATACAGATCACCATACAAGGGTTATGATTCAATATATTGTGATATGTTGCGATACTGTAAGCTAAGCGATATATATTTTAGGAAAACTGTGATAGTATAAAGAACACACCACCATATAAATAAAATCTGAGTTTTAAAAACTTTTTTTTTTTCATTCTGCATTCATATTTCCCCCAGTTGCTGTAACATCCAACCTCATAGCACTTTATTCTCACAGCACATCTAGCAGCTTGGGGTTTAACCATAAAAATCAATGCAGTGTTTTTGAGAATCAGTAGAATATCACAAATATTAAAATAAATATAAACAAAATATTTCAATATCTTTTTATATGCCAAGATATAAACATTGTGTTTGTTATGTTTTGGGTTTTGTTTTGTTTTGTTTTTTTCCTGCGTGAGAGAACCGCACCGGCACATGTATCCTTGGAGACATTGTGACAGTGAGTGGCACATTGTGTCGTAATAGTAGTTTCTAACATTGTGCTATGTCTCTTCCCAGATGTGGTCACAAAGAGGCAGTATTCTTCCAGTCTCACAGTATGAAGGCTGAGGTAATGATCTTTTTTACACAACATTATGCATTCACTTTAGTTCTTAATATTGGTTGTCTATGATATTGGTTGTCTGTATGCAGTGGTTCTCCAACTTTTTCTGGCATGCCCCCCTTCAGAAGCTGAAAACAGTTCACCATTTTTAGCAATAATCAATGATAAGGGGAACCAAAACTAATAAATGATCCAAGTTGAGTTTCAGGTCAGAACAATAGCATCAACCAGTTTGTATATTTTCCCTACGTAAATCATATTCATTCACCTTTGTTCCACTCTGGTGATCCACGCCCCTCCTCCAGTGGCTATATGCCCCACAGTTTGAGAACCACTGCTTTAATGAAACAGAGAGTCTACTAGTTTAACCATATGCATATTTCTCCCAACAGGATGCTATGAGACTGTACTATGTCTGCACAGCCCCTCACTGTGGACACAGATGGACAGAGTAAAGCCAGTGATAATGAAGAGGTCTAACATTTGCATTTACGGTGTTGACAGTCACAAAAAATCTCCCTGCTGATGTTTGTAGACCCTGAAATTATCTTTGTATGATGACACTTGCAGCGATTGCAGTTTATCAGACACCATCTTGTGAATATAATGTATTAATAGTTTTTTTAACAGTTTTTTTAAGTGTGTTTTGTTAGATTAAAAGAATACATTGTTTAAATATTGTCTGAGTGTTTAATGAAACAAGTAAACACGTAACAAATGCTGTAATTATTCACATTGGCAGCATGGCCTCTTTAGTTTTGCTTATTTATACCAGGGTTGTACCACTTCCTGTTTTTCACTATGGGAAAAGCATACTTGATATTGCAACAGAGATACTATGTATTTCCTCTTAAAACTCACATGACTATAAACATCAGTTTGAAGCAGGCATGTCTGGTCAGTGGGAAGGAAACTACCAGCGTCCTTCTGTCGCTATGTGGAATGTTGACAGTGTCGACTCAACTTCCTCCTCCTTCAAACGTGTATATTCCAAACAACCTGTTTTGCAACTTTATACTATTAGTCAGCCAGTGGGGAGACTAATGTGTGGATTAAGATGATATGTATCCACTTGTAACGACAAAGAACAAGGAAGGTGTACTCTCGGTGACCACACCTCCTCAAACACTCATTGATAATGCAGCTGCACAGTCTGCTGCCAGGCAGTCATCAAAACCCAAAGGCTTCTGTGTGCGGAGGTATGGACCAGAAAGGTACGACAACAAACAGCCTTACGCTAAAGATTATTAAAGAATTTATGTGGTATTTACTTATGACAAAAGCCAACTTTTTATTTGGAATATGCATTTAATCATCTCAAAACTGCTTTTCAGTGAAACATTTTTCAAGGCGGCAGTGGGGAGCGGCTGCCCCTCGACAAAAGGAGACTTTGAAGGGCCCTGCCCAGAGAGTTGTCATACATCACACTGCCCTCTCAAAGTGCACAGGCCTGAAAGAGTGTACAGACGGCCTTCTCAACATTCAGAGAGTGCATATGACAGAAAGAGGGTTTGATGACATTGGTTATAAGTGAGTAGCTCTCCAGCATTTACTGCTTGAGTGATGTTTATATAGTATTGTTTGTACAATGTGGACATATTGAAGGGATATTTATTATGTATTGCTTCTTGTGAGTCCCTGCCAGTGTTCAGTGCTATAGGACCCAACCATGCTTTGTGTATGTTTCAGTTTTCTTGTTGGAGGAGATGGTACAGTGTATGAGGGCCGTGGCTGGGGTGTGGTAGGAGCACATAGCAAAGGCAACAATCATGACTCAGTGGGGATTGCCTTCATGGGCAACTTCAACAGTAAGTTTGCTTATTCATTTTTGCATTGTGGCAACAATAAGAGCTCATCATATGTTCGTTTGAATCCATCTTCAGGATGATTTTATGAAGTCTGGATAAAATGGCTTGTGCTTAATATGTTTACTGCACGTAACCATAATGCTACTTCTAATGATTTCAGATGATACACCAAGCACAGAGGAAATATCGTCAGTCAAACAGTTGCTGCAGGCCGGAGTTTCTGAGGGCTTTTTACACTCAGAGTATGTCCTGTTTGGGCACAGAGATCTGGCAAACACAGAATGTCCAGGAGCAAAACTTTATGCTGCACTACCACAACTGAGGGAATCTCACTGCAGATTATGATGGTGATAGTAGAACATTAATTCACTTCCTGTAATTGTTGTTGTTTTTTTTTATCATGGGTCTCTTCTTAACTTGGGAAGGTTTGTGTTGTAATAGGTCCTAAAGAGGTCCTGCCAGTTTCACAGCCTGTTAGATGTTTCTCTTACAGCAGGGGGAGCCATCATATTGAATAAAACCAATAGGCTCTCCAGAACAGCTAAATGCCTGATTTAGAAACTCAAGAATCAATGCACTTCAATCCAGTGCTGACAGTTTGTCACGGTAGCTCTTATGTTTTATTTTGATTATTTGACTACATTCTTCCAATGTGTAATGTTCTTTATATTTAATTGAGTCTAAGTGCAGTATGAATATTATGGGCACTACATTTTACTTATGAATACTTTATTACTGGGGTTGTGGTGTAAGATAAACCTTCAGATTATTTTACCTGCTCTAATGTTGTGCTAGCATAACCAGTTAAATACCAGTTATCAGCAATATTGTGACTGATTTATTGTTTTATTCACGTAAGGCATTCTTTTTTAGGTTCGCCACAGAGTAGCAGGAGTCCTCCAAGCACAATTAATTTAAATAATTATCAAAAATACTATAAGCGTTTATACAAATTGTCTTTACAGAGGCCGAGTTTTCACGTAAATGTCTTCAGGGTGCCACTGCAAAATCATTGTAAACAACACAAGACATGAAATCAGATATTGAACAGAGAAAAAGATCCAAGGGGATTACGAGTGTTGAGACAACAATGCATGCTTTCTGCAGTGCCTGAAACATTCCCAACAAGTGCTCACTTGTGCAGCAAAGGGATTATGGAGGGAGGCCCCTATCAAATTGACTAAGAGGAGGTATAATGGTAACAGATTATACATGTAGTTCCGGCCATCATCATCTAATGTCTGGTATATGAATTGTAGAAAAAAAAAAAACAGCAGAACGGATCATTTTATTAATAACAATGACTGGAAATTAACCCAAAAAATGTAGCATGAGTACCATAAAGTTGAATTGCAGCTGGTCAAATGGTAAAGCGTGGCCTCCGTCTACTGTGGTACAGGCCTGGAGAACTCAGTAATACACTGCAGACCCATCAGTAACCAGTATCAAATCTAACTTATTTGTCACTTGTTTCTTATTTAAATCAACCATTTCCTGAAGGATGCTCTTTAATTAGTTATTGTCTTGATGGTAGTGAATGTATGTGGCAGCTTGTAGGTACAAGTCACTATACTGTTACAGTACAGTGGTCAGTCATTTGTTGTAATATTACCATGTCATATTAATGTTCTTTTTTCAAGGTTTATTTTGTTTTGAGTTAAAAAAAATGTCTGCACTTTTATATTAGATTAAATGGATTACTTTTTCTGTGTGAAAAATGCCACCAATTCATATTCTTTCTAAGAAAAGGGAATTTTTATTTTTTTTATGTGTTCATCATGCCCTCTTTACCAGAAAGGCTCAGAAATGTCCCTTGTTTGCCCCTACCTGTACTGTCCTTTACCAGTAGTAAATCTCTTATGGTCAAGTGAATGGAAAATCGTTTTTGAACTATTGCCCACTGTACTACTGTTTATTTCAATATCAGAACAGATATCACTGCAGACTTTCCTGCCCTTTTTGTCTTTGGGATTATGCACTGTCTGTCTGCTTCTATGACCTCTACTGCAGAGATTTATTCACACTGGACTCAACGGACATGACTGAAATAGTAAAGAAGGCTGCGGAAACCATTCCTACCTCTAACAGTGGTGGTTGGTATATGTTTTTTTCTCTCCTCAGGCGTTTGTCTGTGTAGCAGGATACCTGAAAAAGTGGCAATTCTGTCCCATATAGAACATAATCTGCATCCTTCATGAGAAAAAGCCTGCAGCTAGGCAGACACTTAACTACCTGAGTCAAAAGTTTGTACTATAGTGCCATTAACCTTTATTTTTTATTTGCTGTGCCTTCAAAAAGACAATTAAAAACTTTATCTAGCTTGCTGCCTTAACATGCCTCATTCACATCTGATGGGATGAATCTCTTTCTTTATAAGTGAGGAAAAAAACCTTGTCTCTCTTCTCTCCCTTCCTTTCACTCACACACTTGCTTTAATTACGAATCCCCTTTGCCTGCGTTCTTCTATGGTTCACTATTAGCAGCACTCATATCAAGACACATCTTAAGTCAGTCTGCAGTTTTAAGTATTTTTTTCCCCCAGTAATTTTACAACCTTAATAGGACAGGAAAACTGGTTGACTTTTGTCACTTTGAATTCAAAAAATATTGAGGATATCAGCAGCAGCTGTGCTTAAATTATGATATTTGCAAACGGATGTCATGTTGATCACCCCAAAGCAACATGGGCATAAGAGAATCTGCAGGGTTTGATGTGCAGTTTGATCCCCCTGTGAGGGTGTGTTGGGCCCAGGCCTGTTCTCTATTCTCAGTAAGTCATTTTCATTTCAAAACATCTGCCATAGGTGCCTTATTTGTTCACGACACTGATGGTCGTTTTAAATCTTGCAGTAACAGGTTTAGAAATATGTCGAAACATCTCGCCCTATTTGCTCAAACTTTACACAACACGCATCTGTTCTTTGCTCCTACTCTGTGTTTGTTTAGGCCCATTACCGACCACATTATTCGGCCGACTCCCACTTTCTGAGCGGCTTTTTGCCAAACGATGTGTGAGTAAAGGTGCGCACAGAGAAACGGAGAAAAAATGAGAAAGAAAAGGCCAGCCCAGAGGGCAAGGCGCGAGTGAGAGGGTTGAGTTTCATGAGTCACGGAAGTGTTATAATTGAACTCGAGAGTTCAGCGATCAGTCACACAGATTGACAGCACATTCATTTCATCCGGGGTTCAAACGACTCTTGGCACGGTTCGGGTAGAGAGTATAGGTGTTTGGTTATTCCGAAATATTATTGAGATTATTTTGGATTTTTAAAAGAATGGCCCATAAGTGGCAATGCCAATAAAACATTTTAATGAGTGTATGTTCTTCTTACTGCTTTGATTGTGTCGGGAAAAGTGAATATAAAGCTTTATTAGGCTAAATTAATGATTGTAAAATGAGGATCGAGTCCTCTCCAAGTACTGGAACGCGCAAAAATGACCCAACAAATGAGATGTTACTGTTTAGATCCAGTAACAAAGTAATGCACTACTTTTCGTAGGTAACTAGTGAGCCGCTGTGATCATGCGCATTTGTTGTCACGCTGTGTGGCCAGTGCGTCTTTGCCTCCTCAACACTTTGGATCAGCGCATCTTTGCTCTGTGAGTCCAGTGACGCGCTCCGCTCTGATCGCCGGACGCCTCTGAGGATTTTAGTTGTAACTTCAACCTTTTAAGATGGAGGATTTGAAAACTTCGGACCGATTATTCCACAAGTCCTCGTTCAGCATCAGCAGCCTGTTGTGGAGACGAGAGGGAGTGATGGGTGACCAGGAGTCTCCTAGTCCGTCCCAGAAACTGCGCCCCGCGCATCCAGAGAGAGCCGCTCAGGAAGAAAACTTTAACAATGAAAAAAACTGCGAAACCCCCAAACAGTGCGCTAAAGTTGAAACCAAATCGGTGACAGCGAATGGAAAACGAGACGGATCTAAGGGAGAATCCAAGAAAAGCGGGGGAGCCGAAGAAAGTGTTAAACCTGAGAAACCTCCTTTCAGTTATAACGCGCTCATCATGATGGCGATCCGCCAGAGCCCGGAACGACGGCTCACCCTCAACGGCATTTATGAGTTCATCATGGACAACTTTCCATACTACCGGCAGAACAGACAGGGGTGGCAAAATTCAATCAGGCACAACCTGAGTCTGAATAAGTGTTTCGTTAAAGTGCCGCGCCACTATGACGACCCGGGTAAAGGTAACTACTGGATGCTGGACCCCTGCAGTGAGGACGTCTTCATAGGTGGCACATCGGGGAAACTCCGGCGCAGGGCCGCAGCTGGCTCCAGGGCCAAACTTGCACTAAAAAGGGGAGGAGGTCGTCTGATGTCCTCCAGCACTGCAACCAGCGTGACCTTGGCTGCAGCGGGTCCGTTTTACTGGCCGGTGCCGCCGTTTCTGCCTCTCCAAACACCAGTGCGCACCCACCTTGGCGCAGGGACTTATCTGAGTGCTCATCCCCGCTTCCCCAATCACGCCACATCGCTTGTTTCACAGCGGTCCCGGTTGAGTGCAACAAGTGCTGCAGACGCCGACCGGTTCGTGCAGACGCACCAGGAGATGTCTTACATTGGCGTTAGTTGCGCGCAATCCCGTCGCCATCAGATTGGCACTGCCTGCACCGCGTTTTCCACGTCCATCCCTGCGTGCACCCTGCCACTGTCGGATCCGTGCTCTTTTAACATGATCTCCGGACAAGCCAGCTACTTTTACTCTCACCAAATACCATGTGCCGCAGCGTTCAGTCCGTGCCAAGAGGAGTGCGCCACATCCAAGACATCTCCGGTACAATTCTTAACCAAAAACGGTCACTCAGACCTCGGGGGGTGCTGTAATGACTTTCCAAATTACTGCGCTCAAGTCAGTTCAAGCCCTCCTTCGTCTTGGAATATAGAAAAATAGAGTAACAGTACTAGTGCCCAATATATCAAATATTGCTGTAGAATTTAGATTGACAAAGTTGGCAAATGAAAGGCCAGAGCATCATACTTAAAAGAGTAGCCTACCTGTGCATTGGAATTTCTTGACTTTATGAAAATCCTGAAATTCTACAGTTACAGTGAAAGATATCTGTGGGGAAATGTTTTGCACTTGACTTTATTATTTCATCAGAACGCGTGTTGTGAAATCTGTGTCAAATTACCAAAAAAATACCTGAAGCATAAAGTGTCTCACATTGACATGTAATCAAAGGTTTCTAAAACACGCCATTTACAAAAATGTGCAAAATGATGTATCAGCGCGTTAGTTATTTTAAAACACATCAGTGTAACCACAGACAAGGTCACATAGTCATTTTTTTTAAATGTAATTGATGGCCATTGATGTGCATCTGTTAACTGAAACTACATTCCTGTTTTAAAAACAATGTTCTCCTTTTACTTAATTATTTTCCACATATGTGTATGCACTTGTCAGTATGGAAAACAAAGAGATGTTTGCGCGCATGTCACTGTTTTAGGCCTAATGCACCTGAAATAATCCTCCTGCAAAATCCGAAAAAAGTCATAAAAAAAAAATCAAATAAAAAAAACAAAAAACCGACATGTTCATTTTCTTATTCGTTTGCCAGCATGTTGACTAAGACCTTTAAAAGCTATTAAAATGTTATGGAAGTTGTGGATGAACTCGGATACGAGCGAGTGTAGGACTTCCAGTTTACTTATTTTAAATATATATATACATATATGTATATATAGGCTACTAACATTATTTTAGTCCAAGGAGGTGAAATCGAATTAAAATGTAAAAGTATACAGCCCAAGTAAGAAATCCTACAATTAAACTGCTTGTTTGCTGCATTTATTGTCCTCGAATTTCGTTAATGTTGCAACTAAAAAAATATTACATTTCTATTTTAATTAGCCTACATGTAATTAAACGATAAATAATGCATTTTTAATTGTGTTTTCTTTTCACCTCATTAAAACCTACTGTTGTTGATTGTTCTTATTTGGCTGTGTTATTAAATGTTTCACTCTGAAGCCCACACAACAGGGACTGTATACAGACTGATTTAATTGTTTGAAGTAGAATTTGAGGAACCACAGTGAAGAGGCCATTCTATGGATATGCTGTGATCCTCCTACTTTTTTTCTTTTTTTCTTAAGATCAACAGTTCAGTGTGCACCTGAAGCTTTCTCCAGGAGACATCATGTTGAAACAGTGTGCAGACTGTGATGTAACTTCCACAGGTAGACATGACATTTCCAGTCTGATCTTATTGATCTGGCTTGTGTTTCAGCCGGCACTGACATCACTGCCTGTTAAACTTTTCCTCAACTCTCCCTGAGATATAAATTCATAAAAAATACATGTATGAGGACACAGATTAGAGCAGCTTCCTGGACTGCTGCCTCGCTCAGACAAAAGACTCTTTATATCAGAAGACCCCAGCCCGTCACCTTTCCAGGCCCAGTCACATTCACAGTTGCCTGTGGTTAGAGCAGACTGGGCTGGATCAGGTAACTACACTGTTGGCAAACTCACGGTCTAGATATATATGAAGATAATAATATTTTCATTACTGGTGTGAGTAATTGTGGTCGCAGTATGGAGAGCAGGGGGACGGAGCTGTGAATCTACAGGTCTGTGGTGCAAAGTAGAGTTTTATACCCTGAGGCCAGAGTAAGAAGATACTGTTTGCTGTTAGTGTAATAAATAACCACCTTCCTTTGACAGCTCTACTAATAACCACAGAGATATAAATCACCCCTTCCAGTGCAGATAAATTAACATATGGTTCCACTACAGACTGTTGGACGGGGACAGTCTGGTGCTGACATCTGTTGCTGATCCTGTGCTGGATGTTGTGTACATAGAAATAATAAGATGCTTTTCTTAACATGGTTTCTGATTTTGAATTGTGTTCACTTAGCAGGCTTTGTTAAATTTTGCCCCCAAAATCAAGATCAATAAAGTGAAAGGGAAATTCTAATTGGGAGAGGAGGGGGATTCACATTTTTGATGAAAGGAGGATAGTGGAAAATGTTTAGGAGAGCATGGGGAGTTTTATATAATTTATATAATCAGATTTATATTTAATTTCATTCTTCATCTGTAAAATTTTAAAAATGTCCACCACGTGCAGGAGATGCTAGTCCCTTCAGAGGGATTTTCCCCACCAAAATCAGATTGTAGGACCAAAATGTCAGTTTTGCAAATCAGAGTAGACGTTTCCATAGTTAATAGTGATTGAATCTCCTCCACTGAACTTTGAGCTCCCACCTTAATTAATTTGCTTCATAAAGGAAAGCAGAACAGTAGATTGTGTAAAAGTGCACCTGAAATATAATAAATTCAGCATCACGTTGCCAATCTCTTAGCTAGGGAGGGCAATTTTTATTGTAAAATAAAATAGAAGATCAAATAATTTCTGTCCCTAAAGAAAGCAATGATAATAACAAGTGTATTTAAAATGTAATACTACACATTATTCAGTTGTTCAGATTAATACAGGGTTTTTTTTCCTCTTGCCCATCAGTGTTAGTAAATTAATCTCTGATCTCTTAACTGCCAAGGTGTTTTCAGATTACTGAAGTCCCATCACATGTAAGGCTAATGCCACACTGAGCTCATTTTACAGGCCCACTGCTCCACAGTTTAAGATGTAAGTCTTTTGGCTGAGTTAGGTGTGCTTCATAAAGATATAGTGCAGCTCTCGAAATCAATCCCACGCACTCGCCTCCCTCAACAGCACACAGGCAGCTATTATCCGGAGCAAGTGACTTCCACAGGTAGATCTGCCACCCTTTGAAATAAGGTGGGTGGGTTGTACACCCCCAGGCGTCTGTCTGTCTCTTGCCAGAAAGCCAATCTCTTAATGTCTCATTGCTGCTGTGTAGATAATGTACTCTACATCCCCGTCTCTCTCTCTCTCTCTCTCTCTCTCTCTCTCTCTCTCTCTCTCTCTCTCTCTCACACACACACACACACTTTCCCCTCGTTCTTGTTGTGTTAAAGAGCAAAACAAAGACCTATCTGTTTGGGTCTGTGGTATCACTTTGGCTGCTCTCTCTGTCATGTCTTTTCCTGTGACAATTTCTTCCTTTAACAGCATGTAGTTAATGTAGCCTACTGTATATAAGGTATGAACATCACATCCTCAACCAGCATAACAATAATATTATATATATATATATATATATATATATATATATATATATATATCACAGTATGCTGTAGAATATGGAGCCAATCAGTTCTATAGTATTATTATTTATGGTATTGTAATATTGGGTTATTATAACTTAAAACGCATTTTAATATTGTAGTCTGCCAGACTGGGGCTGATTTGAACTATTTTCACGTTATTTTTTTTTAGAAATGTATCTCCTAATTATCTGTAGTAAAACATCTAAATGTGCCTTGAACGCAGCATTAAAATGGAAATAATACAACATTGTACAGTAAAATCGACATTATGACACAAACTGGTTTGATGCACATATGCAGTACCTTTATATATATAGTTTTATATATAGTTTAATATATATTCTGTTAATGGCAGTAACCCGGTAGTTATTGCAAAACATTGAGGCGCGTATTAGTTGACCCGGAAGTAGCTGGATCCACGCGAGTGTGGAGCATTGGAGGAAGCATCGTTGAAGACACGAAAGAGACTGGTGCAGACGAGCGGGATACTATCTAGGAGAACTGTGTTTAGAAATCAGCAACCATGTAAGTATATATAAGGATCAGTCAGCGTTCAGGAGAGCGCTCATTGTCGGTGTTAGAGTCACAGCAGGAGCTAACAGTTACATGCTAACCGGGTTAGCACTGTAGAAAGACCAAGGCCGGTGAGCTGAGTTCATGAAGCCTTTGTACGTCTGCACGCTGCTGTGTATTGTTAGGCTCAGCGATACTAACTTACAGCTACGTTATTGTTACACACGAAGAAAGATGAAAAGACAAAGTCAGACATTTCAAACTGCTTTGGTGAAAAGTGGAGAAGTTACGAGTCAGGAGCCGCACAATTACATTGATATAAGCTAGTTAGCTGAATGCTAACACCAAGCAGCAGAGTGTGGAGTTGTTCGTCTCTCTGTTAATGTTAAAGAGTCATACTGGTGTTAGAAAACAAATGTCAGTCTGTTACACACAATAAGCAACACATATTTATAGAAATATGTGAAACAAAGCTATATAATTTCATTTACTGAGTGATACAGGTGTAGTGAACATCTCTTTGTTGTCTAAAGTTGAACTTAAACTTTATTTTATTCTCTAACACAACCAGTCAGTCAAAAAGACAAAAAAACAACAACCCTGCAACAATATAATCAATCAATCAATAATCAATTCCAACTTTAAGGAAACAATACAACCGAATAACACAGCAGTATATTTAGCAGTCAGCCTGTAAAGGTGTATTGGCCAAACATGATCAGAATATAAAGCCTAATATTATATAACATTTACAATATTCCTGCTCTGCCATATTAATACCAACATCCAGTTCTGATCAAACTGATATTAATTATCCACATTTGAACTGGTGTTTTGTGTCATTTGTCAGGAGTCTGTTAACAAAGCCCAAGTCGGAGATGACTCCAGAGGAGCTCCAGAAACGTGAGGAAGAGGAGTTCAACACTGGCCCTCTGTCTGTGCTCACACAGTCAGTCAAGAACAACACTCAGGTCCTCATTAACTGTCGCAACAACAAGAAGCTCCTCGGAAGAGTCAAGGCTTTTGACAGGTACCAAGCCCACTCTCACTCGTTACTTCACAGGTTATGTATAATATGAGATTGATACTTAACTTGTGTCTAATCATTTTGTTGTATTTCACATTTGTATTGTTACATTTCATTCAGGATGGTATTTTACTTAAATCAGCAACCATATATTTTCATGATCATTTTGATGTTGTTACAGTATAATACAATGTATTTACTTTCCATCAATGAGCATTACCCATTATGAAACATGATCGTAACAAATTATTCCCTGATTTGTTACTGAGCAATCAGCAGTCTCCAAAATACCCAGACTAATATACGACTATAAAATGTATTTTTGCATTGTCTTCCTACAGCAGCTTGACCCTCAAAAGATACTGTGTATGATGGAGACTGATACACTGTTCCCTCAACAGGGAAATCCGATGTTTTTCGTCATCTCAAATGCATATAAACTTATATATTAATTTTATGCTATCAAAATTGGAAAATTAATATTGGATAATTATTGTCACAATGAAAAAATCCTACAGTTAAAGAAAAAAGAACTGTAATGTCCTCGTTATTAACAAATTAATCATATCCCCATCAATATAAGTGCAGTATTACAGGATACTTTTGATGTGATTTCAAATAAATTGTGCATACTGATACCTCTCTTATTTAATGCGTTAATTAAGTCCAAAATATATAATTGTGCAGGAACATTAATTTTCTTACCCGAAACCTGTCTTACTTTTTTCTTTGAGGTCTCTCGTGTTTCAAGGCTGATTCTTCAAACTCTCTTAACTGGACATATTTGTCATAAACTGCTCGTTTCAGCTTGATAAATGCCTTTTGTTACTGAGGAGGTGCTTTGTTCAATATTTGCCATATAAGGCATCATGTTCTCCTTCCTGTGTGGGCAAGTTTCATTCATAAAAATAAAAGAAAGTAAAGTGAGGAAGGGTCCTGCTGTCGGAAATCAGCGCTGTATTGTAACAGACAGAAAGGATGAATGGTCTGACGTAAAGCTTAAAACATATTTTTTAAGGGGAAAGCGACCCGTGACTAATATGAGAGGCAGTCATGGGAATGTGACAGATATTAGACAGGATAATAGTATGACCTACAATAGGTAACGTTACACAGAAACACAGGATGACACTGGACAGCGATCTGCATAAAGACCCTGACGGAGCTGTCAGAGTATACGTTACTGTGCTAAATATGGCAGTATTATTTCAAAGTGCGAGGGAATCAGGGAATGCCACAAATTCCCTTAAATCACTTGTGTGTACCACTTAAGAAGGATTCTGTTTGTAAGTGTTTTTGTCTTTTCTTCCCCCTTCCAAAATCAGTGATACTCTGTTTCAGTGTTTGACATCCTCTCTGTCATTTCAGGCATTGCAACATGGTCTTGGAGAACGTGAAGGAGATGTGGACAGAAGTTCCCAAGAGTGGGAAGGGAAAGAAGAAGTCTAAGCCAGTGAATAAGGACCGCTACATTTCTAAAATGTTCCTGAGGGGCGACTCCGTCATCATCGTGCTGAGAAATCCTCTGATCACTGGAAAATGAACTCTTTATAGGCGCCAAGCTGAACCAGTCTCAGAGCCGTTTTTCTTTTCCTTTTTTTTCTCCTTTTTTATTTTCTTTAGTGATTTGAAGGCAGTTGCAGTGGACTACCATTAATAGAAATGTCTTTGTTTTGTTGTTTGTGTTTGGATCACTGCACTCACTATTGGGTAAGATACATGGTGTAAAAATAACGTCTGTACTTTTTGGGGAGCCATTCAGGCACAAGAATACCTGTTTTTGTGTTGTCACCAGAAGTATTCTGTATTTTTCATTTTAATAATAAAAGTGATGACCAGATTCAAGTGTTGTTCAAGTATTTTTGCTTTAAGCTTCTAAGTTTCTCCCTACTTTGAAAACCTGATTGAAGGCTAGTTTCATTAAAGGGTGCTATGTGATATATTTTTTATTAATAATAATCTAGATTTAAATCTCCAACATTAATATTGATCATTCATTTAATTGTTTGTATTATTAGTGAATATTTGGAGATAATATTGTGGCAGTAGAGTGTTTCCATTCTTCTGACCTATAGATATTTATAATTTTATAGAAAAGTTTTTACTCCGGTTTTGATTTGGTCGGCCTCCTCCTTCCCTCTTCCTTCTCCTCCCCCTCCCGCTGTCACCCTTTTCACTCTCCCCTGACAGCATCTTAGGTGTCGGGCTTGATTTCAGTCAGCAGCGCTCAATATGCGACAAACTGCCGTTTAAAGGCCCTATGCATTATTGATGAGACCAGATGTGCTGACTGTCACTTCACACCCTCATCTCTCTCCATTTCAGGCCGTTCTCCTCTGCCGCTCAGCCCCTCCTGACCACTTTGTTAATTGTCTTAATAGCTTAACAGCTAGTCTCGCCTTACCTCTCTCTAACAGTTGGCACCTAACCGCCGCTCTTTGCCGCTCTCATATTTAGTGGTCAAGTGTACCCGATTTTGATTGTGTGAGTAAATAAAAAGATTGTGTATTTTACACGCAATATTTGGAGAGCTGAATGTTATCGATTTCTGTATCAGTGCTGAAATCCCCTTAGGTTTAGCTGCAGGCCTTTATAATTAGAAAATAACTCCCTGAAAGTCATTTTTGTGTCAAAAAACAGCACATTTTCCCTTATAGAAAATCTAATTCACTATGCCTAAACTTTCCTTCTTACTACATTATTCGGTTGTCCTAATATTTTCGTATTTGATGTATCGTACCTTATATTACACACTTTTTTTTTCACTATCAACCGTTGCATGCCTCAGGCCAGCACCTGTGGTAGATCTGTGTGTGGGCAACAAGGCCTCACTAATTTACAGCTCTCAGGTGAAGCCTGCAGGGTCAGAAGGACTACTCATCCACCAGGAGAGTCAGTCTGAGAACTGGATTTGAAATGCACTGAATGAACTTTCATGACTTCTCTGTGACTAATGTAGTACCTAATGCTCTCCTGCTCTAGGCAAATCTTGACATCTATCAAAAGTTTGAGAGGATCATGTTGCAGGGGCTAGAAAACGTCAGCGTTTTTGCTCTTCAAGCCTAAGGCATGAGGAAACAACAGCTGCTAAGGTGCCTATGGCTTTCTCCTTTCATAGTTTAAATATTATTAAACGATTGCATATTTCATGAAGGGCTTAGTTCACTTAGCATGTGGTTGACTGCTGCTCAGTGGTTGGCATATGTATAATGCCAATACAACTTTTTCCAGTACAAGTGTTTCATGCCAATGTTTCCTATTTTCAGTTCAGGTTTTGTTTTAAATGGCAAAATTGTAAGGTGTGTTTTAGCACCGTAGGGACAGGATTATCTGCTTTCCTTTGGTATAGATTGGTTCAGTGATGTATTTTTGTTAAAACTTAAAACGCTTACAGTCAAAATGTCCAAAATCACACATTCTGCTGGTATTCGGTGTATTGTCAAATACTTTTTGAACAAACACACAGATGAAAATAACACCAACACCGCCACACACACAACCACACCATCACCACAACAACACAAGAAGCTTTGGGGGTCTCCAGTGGGTGCTCAGTGTAGCTCCCAAAAACAAACTTTAACATCTTTAAGTACTACCTGATGGACCACCAACAAAATAACCTCTCTTTGACTTTTCCTCTTTTCAGGGATCTGAAATCAGTTCCAATCAGACGTAACAGGAACAATCCATTCCTAAGCATTATTTGATCTGATGTATTTATATGCTGATGTGAGAATTCTATATCAACTTATTTCACTGTGAACATGAGACATTAGCCTTTTTTATTTTGTCGTTTTCTTTGTCAACAGAGCACAAGCCAAGACACCGCAGGACATGGCGAAGTCGTTGGTTTACGTGGCGTTTAAAGTCTGCCTCTATCTGCTCAAGAGTCTACGAGGTACACACATTTGTAAAAGAACATTCCTTTCTGTGACCCAGACGTGCCTCCACCGGAGCTGCTTATACACCAGAGAACTGGGGCAGCTCTCCAGCAGGGAATATGCACCTATCAGCCGCTGCCTACTACACAGGGTCTTCTTTCGTCCAGACTACCAAGGTTTGTAAAAATAACGACATAATCTAAAAAAGTCGTCTTACACAGCTTTCTGTTCCCCCAGAGGTGCTTTCTGATTTTAGATTACAGGTGCTCGCTGCAATGCACATGAGAACCCCCACCAGAATAACGCATCAATATCATGTGCATTACATTAGGTAATGTTAGATTAGTTGATGGTTTCAGGGCAATTGTGTCACTGGGGACCAGGTTGTGTTCAAGTACAATTAGCAAACACTGCAACAGGGCAAAGGAGCATAAAAACTCAAGTCCACTGGTCAGCATCCACTTTCATCCGGTGGAGAGGAAGCGGTGGAAAAGTGGATGTCTCATCTCAGCCGCATCAGGAATGTGCATGTCCATGAAAATCTACTCCTCCAACCCCCTTCTACTAACAAAAACACATACACCACTATTATGACAATAATAATTATTCAATAGCAATTATGTTGTTTAATTTGAATCCTTTAATAAACTTTCAGCTTTATTTGTTATTCTCCCCTCCCTTTGAGCAACAAAGGACAAATACAAGCTGGATAAGGTGCTAGTGTGTTCTCAGTGATGTGAGGAGTCTGATTCTGTGATTTTCACAAAAAATGTGGCCCTCTCAAACTTAGGGATGCTCGGCAGATAAATTGTATAGCAATCATGTTGTCAATACACACATATATAATATAATATATAATAATATTCCTATTTTACATATGACTTGATGTGTATCTGCTGCCTTTTTCATTTGCTGGTGCCTGTATCTAAAACTTCCAGACACTGGTAGCACTAATGTTAGTTTCTAGCCCTTTACAAACTATTTTGGAGTAATCCCATACAAATCCTCCTCATTTCAGGCGTAACTTGGCTGCACTGCCTGTTAATGAAAAGCCTGTGCGTACCCAAGTGAGAACTGTCGTTCCAAATTAAATTTCCCAAGGGCAAGGGAACATGTTGTGTCCATGGTGAAGACCAAATATACTACTGGTAAGTTAAAAAAAACAGTTGAGACCATATGAATTACACTTGTCTAACCCCAAAATCCTTTTCCTAATCAGCTGCTTTCTGCCAACATGTCAGTCACCATCTCCACGTTACTACTGTGGCCTTTACTCAATATTTTGTTATTCTGGTAATAAATAGTCGAATACTTTTCCCTTGTGTGTTTCACAGAGTGAGCAGTGTCGTCACATAAACAAACACTACCCAGATGCATATATTTCTGTTGAGAAAAAAGCTCTCTATTCCTTTTTCCTGTCTTGTTTTCTTGTTCGGTCTTGTTGGTATTCCAGATATGACACCAGTGTTTTCTCCACATGCAGTCTTCTTCCAGCACGTCACCTGTCTCTGTGTTCCTGTGACATACTCCTGGCTCAGCCCATCCTAGCAAATGTATTAAAGGCTATTGAATGAATGAATAATTGTATACAGATGTCCAGAACATAACAATATATCCAGTACCGGTCAAAAGTTTGGACACAATTTAAAGGAGAAAGTGTGTCCAAACCTTTGACTGGTAAGTACAGTACCAGTACTAATCCAAATGGGAGGTTTAAAGCCAGTGTACAACCCATCTTCATCAGGGAACTCCTGATAAATACAGAGCACAACACAACAAGGTATGACAACCCGGTTGTGCTTTCCCAGGTATCCCTAGCACCAGGTAAAAAAAAAAACGTCTCTGAAGTTTAAAGTTGAAAGGCCTTCTTGATTTTATTTATTGAAAAAATTTGCAATAAGGCCTATATCTCAGCATTTCCTTCATTTATGTAAAGAAAACTAAATGATGTTGATTGTTAATGACTGTTATTTTTAAAGTTGAAAAACATTTTATAAGGGCATGGTGAAGACCTGAACACAAGCTTTATACGCAGACCCTTCACTGTCTGATAAACAGCCTTGACATGCAGTAGAAAAGGATGCCGTTAAAACAACCTCTCTCTAACCAAGACAGAGAACTGTATAAAAAGTTCCTAAAAATACCAGGAAACATGTGTCTGATCCAATATTCCCAGGAAATAATTGCTCAAAATTCATTCAATTTGCACATTTTTCACAAACTTCCTGCAGTTACTGCTTTTCACTATTTGGGCTAATACGATGTTTATCAGTTGTTTGGTTCTGTTATTTTTGTGCATTGAATATAATATGAAATATCCATAAAATATGTCCCTTAGTCAGGGGTTGTTTACTCAATGATAGAGAAGGGGTCCCTTAAAGAAGGAGGTTGGGAATCACGGCTTTATATGATGGCTACAGCAGGGATTTCATCCAGTTTGGGATGTAAATGTAATATATGTTTTTCTGTCCTAAAACAAGTGGTTTAAAGGGAAAAGAGGAGTTTTTCCACTGTAACACAGCTAGTTTGTGATTGTGAACTAAACCTCCCAAATCTGTGATTGTATGTGTTGGCAAAATACAAGCCAGGCTTTTTGTTTGATATCTACAAAAAAGGAGCAAATTGTGTGAACTCAATAAATGTTATCTGGTATAATTTACTGTAATCCCCAAATTAAACTAAAACCGCAAAGGGTGAGTCACCAGTTCAGTGGTAATTAACATAACAAATTCAGATGTTTTGAAATGTTACAACAAATACGCCCACACTCTTCCCAATCCATGATATGAACATCTGTGGGTCCAACCAACCTACATCTTACCCCTGCACTCAGGCTTCATACTGTAGTAAAATAAGGCCGGTTTTGGCTGGAGTCTGGTGTTCAAGCCAAATTCAAACCATTTATGGAAAGTAATCCATTAGGCTTCTGACACCAAGTGTAAATACCTACAGTCAATAC